CTTAATATTGATTTTACTTTCTATATGCAGAATATTATTTACAATGACACAGTCTTCCTAAGATTAGATTCCATAATTAAGTTATCCTTTTGAGGGACCTTATTTTTATCAATGTTATCTCTAACTTAGGATCAACCAATCACACCGTCTGAAATGATGACTCATACCTAGCTAAAATAGGAGTTTTTGTCAATTGCTTGCTCTGAGTTGTCTGAGAATGTTCTGGAATAACTTTTAAGCTAAGACTCATCTCTGAGAGGACTCTTTAGGCATATGGCCCTAGAAATCATTGCTGGATTCATGTGAAACTGTTGCACTTCAGGTCAGTGTCACTAAAAACAAACAAATGAAGATTTCAAACCAATATTTTCCTTTATTCATTCCTATTTTGCTAAAATGTATTTAACAAATTAGTGTGGATTTTTAGGAAAATGCCTAAAAAGGGACAAAATAAATGCGTTTGCATTAGCCTGCGTAGCATCTGCGGCCTCCGACACAACTGACGGTCTCAGTTCACTTCGCTGACTTTCATAGATACAATGCAGTATTTTCGTGTAGTATACGGTTGTAGTGGGTTAGGGTTACCACACAAGAGGTCTTCCAGAGCTGTGGTACTGAGGTTGGTACCACAGCCTCTTGTGTGGTACCAGTGCCCAAGACACCACGGACAAAGACCTCAGCGACTTCAGGCCGGTGGCTTTGACATCCCACTACATGAAGACACTGGAGAGACTGGTCCTGGGACATCTGCGCTCCTCTCTGACCTCAGCGTTGGACCCGCTGCAGTTTGCCTACCGGCCGGGCATCAGAGTTGATGACGCCATCATCACCCTCCTCCACCGCTTGCTGTCCTACCTGGAGAAACCCGGCTCCATTGTGAGGATCCTCTTCTTTGATTTCTCCAGTGCCTTCAACACCATCCATGCTTCAGACACAACACGGACGATTGTGTCCTACAGAAGTTCTCTGATGACTCTGCTATCATCGGACTCAGCTCCGAGGATGATGACTCAGAGTACAGAGGAGTAATACAAGAATTTGTGGACTGGTGTCAGCGTAACCACCTCATCAACACGGGGAAGACCAAAGAGATGGTGGTGGATTTCCACAGACGTCACTCTGCCGCTCCAGCCCCAGTGAACATCCAGGGAAAGGACATTGAGAGAGTGGACTCTTATAAGTACCTGGGTGTTCATCTGAACCACAAACTGGACTGGAGTCATAACACGAACGCCTTCTTCCAGAAGGGCCTGAGCCGGCTCTACCGGCTGAGGAGGCTCAGGTCTTTTGAAGTCCAGGGGCCACTCCTGAAGACCTTCTATGACTCTGTGGTGGCATCAGCCATCTTGTACAGTGTGGTCTGCTGGAGCAGCAGCATCACAGAGAGGGACAGGAAGAAGTTGGACAAGGTCATCAGGAAGTCCAGCTCAGTCTTGGGCTGTTCCCTGGACACAGTGCGGCAGGTGGGTGACAGGAGGGTCCTGAACAAATTAACTTCTATGCTGGACCATGACTGTCACCCCCTGCAGGACACTCTCTCTGCTCTTGAGAGTAGTTTCAGTGACAGACTAATTCACCCTCGCTGTGTGAAGGAGAGGTCCCGTAGGTCTTTCCTTCCTGCTGCTGTCAGACTGTACAATGAGAACTGCTGAGCCTGTAAATTTCATTTATCTGAAAATAAGTGAATACTTAAAACATGTGCAATGTGCAATACTGCAACTTCAGAATGTCACCGAACAATGTCACTTTACTTTATTTACTTACTATCGTGCTCTATATGTACAGTATATAACTCTGCACTACTACATTTATATCAATATATTTGTTTGGTATTGAGGCATTTACAGCCTTTACAGATAGTTAAAGAAGCTATACCCGATTTTTTTTCTACGTAGTTCATAAAAATGCTTTTTACTACATACAAGTTGTATCATAATACATCGTGTAATTGAAAACTTGAGGTAATTGATTCAGCTGTGTATGAATTACAAGCAGTGAAAAGTGCTGAGTAGAGTCTGAGCGGGACGCTCGTTCTCCTCCGCTCACAGAACGAGCAGCGAACAGCCTGCGTCCTCTAGCCTCTACAGCGCTGCTTAAAGGCGCTATACCCGTTTCTACAATGTTTGAATGTTTAGCACCGCCCCCCAGCTCGCTCACAGGCTTCTCATTTCACCTGCGCTCTCATAACACGGAGCCACCTAGTTTTATTTGCGATCTGATACGTATTCTAACATTAGCATTAGCGTAACTTGTAAGCTGTGCAACAATCACTGATGAAATGGCACTAAAGCAATGCACTGCTAACACAATATATAAGTAAAAGAATACGTTTCGCGTCCGGATGTATTAATTTAAACATTAGAATATATTCTAATATTTAATTATAATTTATTATACAGCTCCTCACAGCAGCAGTAGAACACTCCATTGACTTGAATGCAATTCTTCCGATCATTTTTTCTTGATAACAGAACTCTCAAACCAATAATGACCGCAGCCCCAATGCAATCTCTGTTTGTAATTCAGGTGTGTAAAATACTGCCATTACTTTGCAAGTACAAGCTATCAGCGCCTGTCACTACATTGTGCAGTTTTTCTGCACACTTGTCTGTGTAGAGAAGCTAGCGGAGCTAGCCACGCTCAATAAACAAATACATATCAATCAATCAACACCATTAAACGTCAATCGGACAATACAGTATACAGATACATCCTTAACACACATGCACGGACGATTTCAGAATTTGCTGTCAACGTTTTCATGACAAAAATACTGTTTTAAAGTGACAAAAAGCGATCGCGAAAAACCCGGAAGTTACCATGAAACAGCTAGCTAGCTTAGCTGTTACCTGCCTAGCACGTCCCGGTGAAACCTTTGGGAGCTAACTATTTTATTTGCAGTCATTAAATACATTTCTAATTATAAGGGTTGTCTAATATTTGTTCAAATATGTATATATTTTTTATTTTAGAATTATATTAAAATTTTGAAGTCGAAGCCCTGGTGTTAAGCAGCGCTGTAGGGGCTAGAGGACGCAGGCTGGTCGCTTCTTGTTCTGTGAGCGGAGGAGAACGAGCGGCCCGCTCAGACTATACTCAGCACTTTTCACTGCCTGAATTTCATACACAGTGGAATCAATGACCTCAAGTTTTCAATTAAATTATGTATTATGATACAACTTGTATGTAGTAAAAAGCATTTTTATGAACTACTTAGAAAAAAAATCGGGTATAGCTTCTTTAACACCAGGGCTTCGACTTCAAAATTCGAATATAATTCTAAAATAAAAAATATATACATATTTGAACAAATATTAGACAGCCCTTATAATTTGAAATGTATTTAATGACTGCAAATAAAATAGTTAGCTCCCAAAGGTTTCACCGGGACGTGCTAGGCAGGTAACAGCTAAGCTAGCTAGTTGTTTCATGGTAACTTCCGGGTTTTTCGCAATTGCTTTTTGTCACATTAAAACAGTATTTTTGTCATGAAAATGTTAAAAGCAAATTCTGAAATCGTCCGTGAATGTGTGTTAAGGATGTATATGTATACTGTATTGTCCGATTGATGTTTAATGGTGTTGATTGATAGATATGTATTTGTTTATTGAGCGTGGCTAGCTCCGCTAGCTTCTCTACACAGACAAGTGTGTAGTGACAAGCGCTGATAGCTTGTTGTACTTGCAGAGTAATGGCAGTATTTTACACACCTGAATTACAAACAGAGATTGCATTGGGGCTTCGGTCATTATTGGTTTGAGACTTCTGTTATCAAGAAAAAATGATTGGAAGAATTGCATTCAAGTCAGTGGAGTGCTGCTGCTTTGAGGAGCTCAATAACAAATATAATTAAATATTAGAATATATTCTAATGTTTTAAATAAATACATTCCGACGCGAAACTAGCGATATTCTTTTACTTTTATATTGTGTTAGCAGTGCGTTGCTTTAGTGCCATTTCATCAGTGATTGTTGCACAGTTTACAAGAAGTTGCGCTAATGCTAATGTTAGCATATGTATCAGATCGCAAATAAAACTAGGTGGCTCCGTGGGATGAGAGCGTAGGGGAAATGAGAAGCCATTGAGCGAGTTGGGGGGCGGTGCTAAACATTCAAACATTGCAGAAACGGGTATAGCGCCTTTAAGAAGCAGCTACTACTAATTTTGTGTTTTGTATATTTTGTGTGCTCCCTGTGTGCTCTTACTACTGTCCTGTATGTGCGCTGCAACAACGAAATTTCCCCACTGTGGGATGAATAAAGGAACTCTTATCTTATCTTAACCGAGGCAACAGGGAGAAAGAAGTGTTAAATAACCTTTTGAAGGCCAAAGGTTGTCTTAAACCAAGGTGTTCTTCTAAAAAACGGAAAGGCTGTGCAAGCTAAGCTGTTAGCTTACTGCTGCGGAGCTTCCCCTGTAGCTGAATAACTTTTTTATTATTTACTGTTTAACAAATCACCAAAATGACATTTCTTGCCTCAAATGTGGCTAAAAGTAACATTTGTACCTTATTTATTGTTTTATTGATCCGAGGTCTCTGTCGTCACTGAAGACGGCAATAGGTTCCCCCATCTGCTGGTGCAGGCAAAACCAATCGCTCAATCCATGTTCAGGCTTGCTAGTGGTTACTCAATTACAGAACTATAAATCATCGTTATGAAACACAAAACTATTATTATATAAAGAAATGTACAACTTTTAATACAATTTTCAACCTTATTTATCTTGTTTTTAATATGCTGCAAATTAGTGTTGGTAACTATTTAGTCTATTTTTACTGTATTTTGTCACTAAATGTTCTTTCTGTTACCTGTTGGAAGTAAAAACACCTGTATGCCAATTTCTTGTTTTTGTTGAACTACACTGTTCGCAAAGCCCTTGACTTCAACTGATTCCATCTGTGTTTCAGAACCTCTTTGGACCGGGCCAAGAACCTGCGAGGCCTTTGGGAACTGTAGATGTCTCAGTCCTGTCCATGGATCAGATGCAGCAGCGAGAGATGGTGCTGCTTCAAGAAAAGACCCCCGCCCTTGTACCCTTCACTGGGGGGTACCAGCGGGCAGAGGATAAGGGGAAATCTAACCTTCAACCTCAGAAAGAAGCCAGGCTGGAGGACACCCTGTCCCCAGACTGTGTGCACCGGGGCATCAGGGTCACACTGGAAAACAACAGCATGTGGACTGAGTTCCACCGCTGCTGCACAGAGATGATTGTGACCAAACAGGGAAGCCGCATGTTCCCATACTGCCGCTTCCGCATCTCTGGCCTCAGCCCCCAGAAGAAGTACATTCTCCTGATGGACCTGCAGCCAGCCAATGACCACAGGTACCGATGGGGCAGGAGTGGCTGGCAGGTCTGTGGTAGAGCTGAGATCCATGTCCCTGTAGCTCCTTTCGCTCACCCAGAGTCGCCCTCCTCTGGGCAGCACTGGATGCAAAGTCCAGTATCGTTCTACCGTCTGAAACTTACTAGTGACACTGAGGGCCAGGGCGGGAACATAGTCCTGCATTTAAACCAGCGCTACCGTCCACGGCTGCACATGGTTCAAACGGACCAAGCCAGAGACGTGAAGCTTAGCGGGCCTGGAGTTGTCACCTTCACCTTTCCTCAGACGGAGTTCATGGCTGTGTCGGCGTATCAGAACACAAGGTTTGCACAGCTCAAAGTGGAATACAATCCGTTCTCTAAAGGTCTGCGGGACGACACTGCAACCAAGGGGCTCAAGCTGAACTCTACCCAAGCTCAGAACCCACTGAAGAAGAGCCTAAAGTTCCTATTAGCCAACCACAAACCCAAAAGCTCTAAACCTGCTCAATCTAACGAGAAAGAACAGGGAGGACCCAGTACCTCAGCAGACCCTCCTAAAATCCCCCCCACAGACAAGGCCAGCTCTTCTTCCACAGACCAGACCAGGTCTGCAGCTCAACCCCCGTCGGAACAAACCTGGTAAGAACTGATGTCCAGAAGAGTTTCCTTTGGGTGTTCAATAAAGAATACTGATGTGTCTAAGCTCTCTTTAAGCCATTGTTCAAACTGTTTTTGTTTACAGCATAATGCTTCTGCAGATTTTCAGCTCGAGAAGTAGACATGACCCAGGGACACTTTAGGGTAGTCTACAGTCAAGGCTAGTCCAGCTCCAATAAGTAAAACCATGGGTAATTTGTAAAAAAAACATAATAGATTAGTCAATTAATTTAGATTGAAACCTTTTACCTGTATAATGTGAAGACCCTTCAATTTCTGAAACTCCTGAAATTATTCTTTAATTCCTTGTAATTCCATGTTTTTTTTTTCTGGCAGTAACAACCGACGTCCGTCACAGAAGCTATTTTCGGAGCAAATTCGAGATGCGCATGTTTCTCTGCAGAGGTGTAACTTGCCCAATTGTGACAACAATCCCTCTCTGCCAACTTCAAACAGCACAAATGACACTGAAAAAGAGGGAACAACTATTGGCCACACAGGAAAACCCAGCACAAAACATGCTGAAAAAGTGAAAAAGGATTGTTTGGTTTCAGGCAAAGATGACTCAAGGACAGATATCTCTAAGGAGAATAAGCCTGTGGCTTCAACTGCATCAAAATTGGAATCTTTGTCTGAAGCAAAGGTTCAAAAACGTCCGGCAACTCTGCCTCTTTCTGCACTCGGGTTGTTCTTAAGGCAACATTCAGCAAAATCGAAAAAAGCGAAAGTAGATGCGGAAAGTTCGAAAGACTCTCCACTAAAGCAAAAAGACACTCTTCCAGAATCTAGAAAACTGGAAAGAAAAACAGAACCTTCTCGGAGTGAATCTACCGCTGAAAGCAAAGGACCCAACAAGGAATTATTGATGAAAAAAATAAGATCTTATAAACCAGACGTTAAGCTAAAACTGTCTGCCAACAAACACGAAAGTTATGTAGATAAGGCACAGACTGTGGAACGTGACTTTGCAAAAGAAAAATTTAATTCGCCACTAGCTCGGCAAGAATATCCAACAGAAACGCCCACATCAGACACTGCACCAGTGAAAGTGCTATCAAAACCTTCACCAGCGACTTCATCACAACCTTCCAACCAGGAATATTATGTACAAAGTGTTCAGAAACCGAGGAGGAAACCCCGTAAAAAATCAAAATGGCAGAAACCCAAACGAACGGCTGTGTCAAAAACATTGGGCATGTCCCCTTCACAACCCGATCATGCAGAACACATGTTTGGTGATGTCCCTAAGCTAAACCAATATGTAGTTTGTGATTTAGAGGAGAAAAGGTCCGTACAGCAGAAATGGGTTGAACATCCTCAGACTGATCAAGTCTCAGATTTAGTGTTACATACTCAGCCCATGTGTTCTCAGTTCACTGCAGTGTTACCCCCTTCTCTACCCTCAGACATCACGCCGCTATCCGACCCGGAGTGCTCTTCTTTTGCATTTGAACCAATTTCCTCAGCCAGCTCTCCAGAACCGCTCCCCACTATTCCCGACTCGTTAACTTTAGATTTTGATCCATCAGATATAGCTAAAAGAATCCCGCAACCCTCGAAGGACTTCAGCCACACAGAGTTGTCTGTTTTTAAGTGGCATACCGTGTTACCGCCACAGGAGCCATGCCTAGCCTCGTCGTTCTCGCCATTTCAACCCGCCTCTACGATCCAACCCTCTGTGCTAAATTCCCAAACTGAAAGTGGACCCTCCTCTCTCCCAGCGGAAGCCTCTGCTTTCCAGGAGCAGTCTTTGCCGTTTCCAGGGGAGCTGTCGCCTCTTGCGTTGCAGTTTCCAGGTTCCCCCACATTTTCTTCTTTAGACGGTGATGCGCTTTCGCCGACGGACCTCACGGAACTGGTACATTTCTTTGCGGGGGCTGATGCAGACTTGGCGATTGGAGACGAGTTTACAAACGCAGTGACGGATGTACAGACTGCACCAGAAGAACACACTGGACAGGGTTTAGCAGAGATTACAGAGGTGAATGTTGAGCCTCAAAGAGAGAAGAGGGCGGAGCTGATTGAGTCCAGGCCGAAGCAGACTGAACAGGAGCAAACCAGATCCGAGCCGGCGCCCAAAACACAGAAGAAACTGAAGAGAAAAAGGAGGTGCGGTGTTTCCAAAGTGACCTCACAGCTGGACTTGGACCCGGACCCATCGTACACAGTCATGAAGCCCAGCCTGGAGGAAGTGGAGGAGCAACTGTTCGTCTCCTTCACCTCAAAGGTAAAACTAAAATTGGTGGTCCTATGTATTGTGGAATAACCTTTTTGTATTTTTGCTACTAAAGGTCTTGTAGAAGTATGTAAGCGCATGGCATCCAAAGGGCAGTCAGTCCAAAAAGCAGTTTTGAAACTTGTTGGTGTTAAATGTTGTCTTATTGGGGATCATGATTTCTCTTGACTGAAAATCCTTCACAAAAAACCTTTTACCAGAGAACCCAGAGCTTAACATGTCTTCCAATATAATTGATCTATTATATTAATTTAAATAGATCAACGAATGCTTTAGCCATTCTCAAGTACGTGCTCAGAGGCCACCTGCGGTACTGCAGCTAAAATTCTCATTGGCTGAAGAACGTTTTGCAAAGCCTTTTGTGTTGCGTTTGTGCTGTTAAGACTGGACATACAGTACAGACCAAAAGTTTGAACACACTTTCTCATTCAATGAATTTCTCTTTTTTTCATGACTATTGAAAAGTCATGTAGATGTAGTACTGTAGATTCTCACCCAGGCTGTGTAAGGGCTTTTTGACCAATAAGGAGAGTGGTGGGGTGCTGTGCCATATGACCCGGCCTCCACATTCATCGAACCTGAACCCAAGGTTTTGGGGTGAGGTGGATGGACCACAGAGTGAAGGAAAAAGGACCAACAAGTTCAAAGCATCTCTGGGAACTCCTTTTTAAGACTGTGTTGGAAGACCATTTTCAGGTCAAGAGAATGCCAAGAGTGTTTAAAGCAGTTTCAGTAGTTTCATACTTTTTTTTTTTTTAGTACGTACATAATTCCACATGAGTTAATTCATAGTTTTGATGTATTCCAAATAAAATGCAGCTGTAGTCTGAATCAATAAGGACGTATCAAAACCCAATTTAAATTCCAGAATCTAGCTTGAATCCAGTTTTTTAAATCCACGTTTTCGGCCCCAGGTCAAGTCTGATGAACTAAGGTGGCCCTCTTGCTAAAACGTTTGCGCTATAGACTGCCATTAGGACACCATTACATGACATCATGACAATAAGCTTTACTTGTTAGGAGCAGTTGTGGATGTACAGTGGGGCACAAAGTATTTAGTCAGCCACCAATTGGGCAAGTTTTCCAACTACAACTACTAAAATATGAGGGAGGCCTGTAATTTTCATCATAGGCATACCTCAACTATGAATCCGGCATAACGATATTTGCAGGAGGGTCTGTGAGACTGTTAGTGACCTAACAATAGGTCTGCGCCTCCTGTACCAGCGACCCCGCTCCCATCTCTGTGGAGTGAGTGGACAATTGCCCAAAAATAACAATTGTAAACCGCTTTGTGACTCTGGTCTGTGAAAGGCGGTATATAAATTAAAGATTACATATTTACTTACTAACAAGGACTGTGGTGATGATCCAGGACACTCTAACATTCTACAACATTTATGGACATTTATCAACATTATTGACATTGGTCATCTCTCTCTATGGACCAAGACCTATGTGTTCTATATTATTTGTGTTTTAACTGTTTGATTCTCTGATCTGTGCTGGCGATATCAACGGTTTAAGTCCTCTGAAATGACTACTGTTGTGAATTAGGGCTATACAAGAATAAATTGAATTGAATGAGACAGAATGAGAAAAAAAAATCCAGAAATCACATAATCTCAAAGTCTAATTAGAGATCAGACTTAGAGATTAAGTTTTGGTGGAAAATAAACATTTGGTCAATAACAAAAGTTCATCTCAATACTTTTTTATATACCCTTTGTTGGCTTAGTTTTGGGGCTGTCGCTGGGCAAAACAGACTTTCAACTTCCTCCAATGATTTTCTATGGGGTTGAGATCTGGAGACTGGCTAGGCCACTCCAGGACCTTGAACTGCTTCTTACAAAGACATTCCTTCATTTCCCGGGTGGTGCGTTTGGGGTCATTGTCATGCATAAAGACCAATACACGTTTCATCTTTAATTCCTTTGCTACTGGAAGCAGGTTTTCATTCAAATCTCAGTCAGTCATCCTGATCCCATTACAGAAAAAAACATTCCCAAAGCATGATGTTTCCACCCCCATGCTTCAATGCTTAACAGTAGGTATGGTATTCTTTGGATGTAACTCAGCATTTTTTCTCCTCCAGACACGAGTTCTTTCTCCTCCAAACAAGTTGAGGGGGACAGGTTTGAGTTTTGAGTGATCAGCTACGGCAGCTCTATAGCTTCTGTGCGGTCTTGGAAGGTGGAGGACTTCTCTCCACTGTCCTCACCGGCGGTTGAGAGAGAGGAGGCAGACAGCGGCCCTCAGCCCTATCAATTTGAGCCGCAAGCTAGCACCGCTAAAGCTAGCGGCTCGGCTCGCCAGCTAGCGTGCACCGCCAGGGGAACGATGCTGCAGAAGCAGCAGACTTCTGAATGATATAGACTAGAGTGGAATAAAACGTACGAACTGCTTGTCACAGGTCTTGAAGAGCAATCATGTAGGGCTCCGGACTGTGAAATGCTAACCTGTCTGAATCGAACCTTTGACAAGAGTGGGCATTTATGTAGCTTTCCCATATTCCCATACAGTAACCCCTTATGTTGCGGTGCTTTGCTTGACAATTTTGTCTGTACATTTTATTTATGAACCCAGACCAAGATAAACTATATGTTGTGGGATCATATAGTTATAATATTCTAAACTCTGCCACAATAACCTGCAGCCACTGCACCTCCTTGTCCCCAAGGAAAAACTTGTGCTGCATGGAAACCCCAAAGGTATTTTGGATAGAAAAGATACCCCAATGTGCACAAAAGATGCAGTAATTTAACACATGCTCAAACATAAAGTAGAATTTATTGTACACTAGTACAATAAACAATATACAATGAAATTGCACACAATATAGTCCACTAATACTAACAAAAGTCCTAAGCTAAACACAGCTAACTAATCTAACAATAAAAGCAACTAATGACATACTACAATATTCGACAACAACGCTATTAACACTACATATTTATCTATAATACAAACAGCTATGCTAATAAAAATCTCCCTAAATGCTATGACTAATTGCAAACCTGACAATCGATAAATACTCCCTGCTATTCCTTCTCCAACTCACTACGGGGGCGTGAACGAGACTGGGGCCGGTTATATACCTCAGGGCGGCAGGGCAACTGACGTCAGGAGCCACTGCAGACATCAGCTACCACTGCTGCGCCAGATTCAAAATTCAAATGTAGCCGATGGCGCCTCACTGTTGAATGTTTTTGGCAGAAAGTTGATCTTTCAACTAATTTGCACCAAAGTGACAAAATCATGACCAGGATATGTATACAACACTATTGGACACTCATTTATACTGTTTATCAGCAAAGAAAAGTGGATTTGAGGGTGAGTTGTCCTTTACAGAAGGAGTTTCAAGTCTGTGAGAACCAGAAAAGTTGCTTGGTTGTGACCAAATACTTATTTTCCACCACTAGTTAGTCACTAGTTAGATCTAGATTCTAGAAGACTGTCCTGATGAATGGATAATGGCTCACTGATGGACATCCCACATTTATAGTTATAATTCTATGATAATACATCAGGCAAAACATGCATTACATCAAACACAAATTGAACGGAGCATTTTTAGAAGCAACATCTCGTGAGATTCTTCAACATCAATCTTTCAGGAAGCGTTGGAGCTGCACCTCGGAGACTCCGCAGAGAACTCTCCTCCGGGACCTGCACTCGGCTCCTCACCTGCTCCTGCCCCTTTAGCCCCCTCCCCACCTGCTCCTGCCCTCTCTCAAATGGAACCTGACCCCACTCCTGTCTCTCCCCCTGCTGCTGCTCTTCCCTCCTCTGCTCCTGTCTCCCTTCTCTGCACCTCAGACATTGCAGACCCCAGAAACGGTAAGACTAACTCAAACAGAATCACTGTAACACTACTTTGGGTCACACTATAGTTTAGCATGGCATTACTAATGAACTCTGACTCTCTGGTCTCTCTCACTTCAGCAGTGGTGAGTTCAGTTGGTTAGAAAGGTGTGCATGTGTGTGTGTGTGTGTATGTATACATTTATTTATATATAATCACACACGCACACACACACACATATATACAATTCCATTATTTATGTTTATTTGTTAAGTTTAAATCTCTCACTGTCTTTTTGCAGTGACTGAAACGAGAGCAGACTCTCCACCTGAGGCCCTCCAGGATCTCGTGTCCTGTCCCAGAACAGAATCAGGTCAGGAGTCAGACGATGGTGAAGTGGGAGAGAAGGAGCTTGACCAAACTAAACCAGACTCCGCTCCAACAACTGAAGACGCTAATGTCCAAACTCAGACCTACAACTTCTACAAGATAAAAGATGAAACCGCCAAGAAACACACAACCACGAGTCAAGACGAGGAAGAGAAGACATCTAGAACGTGCTCATATCCAGAACCAGATAACTTCTACACAAGGAGCTCAGAGCAACACAGTGAGTTTGTTACAGACTGTATGAAACTAAGGACTATAGCTGAGTGCTTTTAGATGATTTTAGACTCGTGCTTTAGACTAGTTGACTAGTTGCTGTTATTGTTATTAAAGGTATTTGCACAACATGGCAAGGTAGTTATCTCTAAGGTAGTTATCTCTAACTTACTAATTGTCTGGTATAAAGAACCAAATACCTTTTTATTTCTAAGAACACAAGATGAGCCTTCCTAAACTTTTATTACTATTGTTTATTCTGGTCATATTCTCGGCTGCTCAAGTAGAGTACATGCTGTGTATACGCCAGAGTTTTATCATATTATTTATATTTTGTTATCTAATGTCTTAGATAATAATACTGTATATCTTGTGCAACTATGACATTGAACTGACCACCCAGTGACGAGAAAAACTTTATCTTATCTTTAACATATTTCCTTCATAAAATTCTCATTTATGATGGTCTTGTGCACAAACATTTCTTTTATCAGGTTGTAATAAATCATGGCTCAATAAGTCTTTGATTGTTGAGTTTGACTGATGTGTCTGCTTCAGCATCTGTAGAGGAGCAGCTCTTGGAGCTGGAGAAGACTCTTCTCAGGGACGTGAGGCTCATGAAGTACAAGCAGGTCATCCACCCGCTGCTGCAAGAAGGTATTGCATGTCAATACTCACATGTTTATTAAATATAAAAAGATAGACATACATATGCGTATACGTACATATATTCACATTCATACGCACTTACAAAAATATGGGATGCACCGATGTGAAAATGTTGGGCGATATCCGATATTCTTTTTATTCTGTTATGGCCGATAACCAATATTTGCCAATATCTGTTTTTTTTTAATCTGAAATGATAAAAGTGTGTACATACTGAATTTATTTTTCTATTCAGAATGTGTTTTATTACAATGTGGGAAAATGCACACAGAAGCTTTTTGCAGATTAGTATCACTCTTACTTTGCGTGAAAACTATTTTCAATGCAGCGTATGTAGGAGTAATAGATACAAATTCATTTATAATAGACAATAATTAAAGCCGCAAGCGGCGTCGAACGGCCCTCGCTGCACCGCGCAAAGGAGGTGGCGCTGCGGTGCCATGATTTGTTCCCATAGCCCTAGAACAATGTTCATAAAATTGTAATGAATATGATCAGTTGGTTTGGCTCCCCATGTAAAACTTTGGCTCAGTTTGTAGGGGGTGCTACAGAGCCAATGTAATATTTAAAACCTTCAGGTGACCTAGGCCCAGGAATTGAACAACTGAGTCCAGTTCAGTACAAATCAGACTTTGTATGTATAAACAGGAGCACACGTATAATCTGTGAGTGTGTTAATTGGATGACCATGTGACTAATGAAAATTCTAACAACTATTGATGGTACATGTGTTGAGATGATGTGGAGCGATTTTCGGCCAAATCAGTGAAACGACCGAGGCTGGGTTGATGTTTGTGCAAGGTGTACATTTGCCATAGAATGGGGAGCGTTTGTCGTTGCCATGGCAACAGGGTAAAACATAAGTCTTGGGTGTCATTGACTTTTTGAATCAAGAGGACAAAACAAAATTATGTGCAGAATTTCCAACATTTTGAATAAACTAAATGTGATTATCCCCATGTAAAACTTTAGGTTAGGGTTAATAATAAAATAAATGTATGGCGCAGCTCCGTGAACACATACTGCTGTTATATAAAGTCTCTGGAAGGTCTCTGGACACAGAGATGCTGCAGAGCTGCATTTTTGGAGAAGAACTTTACACACAAAGCCGCTAGCTTAACTCTGTTAACATCAAACGGCCCACTGTGAAACCTTCTCGAACAGTTCCATTGATGTCTACTGTTTTGTCCTTGGGCAAGACACATAACCCACTTTGTCTATAATGAGTGCGGAAATACTGTTCACTGCATGCCTTGATGTGTATTCTTTGGCTTCATTAACTTGGCCTGTAGGGGGCGAATGAGCTGAGATGGGACAACTCAGTTTTGCTCCCATTGAAAACCATGTAAATCTTGTCTGTTTTGTAGTCAAAAGGCTCTCAAGTCTCATCCATGGATCTATAATAATAACTGGATAGGGTATTACTAGCTTTTAGGTGTCCCACCCATGGGCACAGGGGGCGCCCGTGGTACTGTAGAATAAGTTTACGTGGGCTACCCAGAAAAAAGTCCATAGATCTCAATATAAACTAAAACAGCTCGACCTCAGCGAACTCACAGAGAACTTACAGCTTTCATAAAGATCGGTGTAGGAGACACGTTTGGGCACTGTGTGAATGAATAGATGTTTGGAGGAGTGATGTATTGTGGGCGTGCATGTATGCGTGAGTGTGGGCGTGTGCGTGAGGGCCTGCATGTGTGTGTGTGTGTAGGCGTGGGCGTGCATGTGTGTTTGGGCGCGGTACACGAAATTATGAATGAGCATACACCTGCGGGGGCACGGAAAGGGGAGAGAGGTCTGTTTGGGAGGCCATAATTTTTGTTGACCGCTATTATAGTTTGTTTGATTTATTTTTGCTATTTTCTCTGGCTTAAGTTTATTCACTATTTTTTTCTGTATAATCACCACGCATTTTTTGGCCTATGACCGCTGCGTTTATTATTAATTAAATCAATGTCATCGCAACTGGATCCAGCCTTCGTTTGTTTTACTAATTTAGCGCGTCATACAATTTTACCGGACCCAACTCGCCTCTCCGCGGCTTTAGACAACAGGCAGCCGCTATAATTGGATTTTGGTCGGATTTTAGTTTCCCTTGTCATCCTGAACTTTTTTTCTTCTTAAATCCTTTGGTTTTCTTTAAATCCACACTTTACTGCCACAAACTCTGCTCGTTATCTTCCCGCTCTGGCTCCGCTCTACCACTGCTCTGATCAGCAGCTCTGATTGGTCAGTGAAGTCCTATGCGCTACTGAGCACAAGCCATTCATTTGAATAGGGCGTCATCTTGGATCACCGGGGCTTGCTCTTGTTGTAACCGTCTTAATCGGGAGGGGGACACTCAATTCTAAAAAAGTACTAAAAAGTACTAAAAAACATTTCTCAAAAGAGTTTTGATTTCGGGCATTTTTGGAAAAAATAATAAAAGTAATTGCTGCGTTTGGCATGCAGGGGTTGCTTATCTGAGAAAGTCTTGATCCACCTCGCCCGCCTACATTTGAGTGATTTTTTTCAAAATGTACTCCTTTATATGAGACCACAGTTGGAAGACGGAAGAAACTTTCTCTATTTGCGCGGTTGCTACAACCGTACACCGCACAAAAATGGCATTTTGACTGAAGACTGCTAGCTAAGATATTTGCTCTTCTTCTTCTGTATCTCCGTGTACATACCCGGCAGACTGCACAGCCAGGGTTCGTCACGTCCGGTCCAGTGAATATCCGTGAATATTTACATTGTTCTTAATCCTGTCCCTCGGAGGACTTTGCGCCACTGCGTAACGCTGCAACCCAGCAATACACATTGGCTGTGGTTATCGACCCAATTTTACACATCCGTCCAATGCCGATAGGTAAAAAAATGAATGAACTCCGGCCGATATCAATATTTGTACCGATATATCGTGCATTCCTAACAAAAATACATGCATAGTGTCAGTGTGCTCCGTGGCAGCTGTGGGTACAGTAGTAGTTTATCACCACCCTGTATGGAGTGAAAGAATAATGACATTTGAAGCATCTTTGAGTGTCCTGAAAAGCGCTGTATAAAACCAAATTATTATTTTTATTTGTATACACACACATACGTATACACGCACATAAACTTGCTTACATCTGTAATAATAATAGCCATTTGAATTTTCGCCATGTTTCAACACTGCTCCATCCATGCCTAGGACCTTGGACAGACCTCAACCCCTGCCCTGTCTGTCCAAATTCTCCCTTTTCAAACTCAGTGGATCTCAGTCTGTGGACTGTTTATGTAGCCCATGTGAGGACTTTTTTGTAATATGTTTGTGTTGTGGGATTATCTGAAGTTGGTCTGAAGATGAGTTTGCTGGATGCCTCGCTCCCTGTGGACCTCCAGTACCTGGGCATCCCTCTGCCCCTCCCCCCTCCGCAAGCCAATCAGGAGCCAGGTCCAGGTGAGCTCCCACCTGTACCACATTGAATAATTTTTATACACGTCACAAAAACAAACGTGCAATGTCTACATAATTCAATTCATCTTTAATTCAGACACATAAAAGGTCCATAAAAAGCATTAAAAAGAAACGCAACAAAAGTATAGACAAACAACATACAAACATGCTATATTTAAAAGATGGGCTAACCTTATAAAGTAGTTTTAAGTCTCCATGTGTGATATTTGTGGTCGTCTCGTAGGACTCGGTGGGGGCTTCGTGTCCAGAACGGGGAAAACCACAGATGTGACTCAGATCAAAGGATGGAGAGACAAGTTCACCTCTGACTCAGTGTTGCCGCTTGAAGGTGAGAGAGGTCACTACATGTTTCATAGTTTGATAAGTCTTTTTGCATCTGATTATTCAAAATTCCAGCCTCTATGTTTGCAACGTCTTCTACATACATGATACAGGATGTTCAGAATTCTTTGTTCAGTTTTCATGTAGTTTCAGAGCCTAATTGAGGCTTGATTCGGAGGCTCCGCTAAAACAAACAACTGAGCATGCGCGCAGCTACGAGCATCAGCGCAATGATTGACAGCCCTTGGCATCACTTGATTGGTTAAACTGGACGGCATCGTGGATTCTGAGCTATAGCTAAGAGAAGGGAAGGCGGGACTTACCCGTAATATTAGAATTAATAAAATGACTTATTTTATATCAACATTTAAGGCCAGGAGGTCAATTTAATACAATTCTTAAAATGTGTAATTCATTTAGATTTACAGACTATCACTTTAAATTAATGTGTAAATACAATTTAAATCTCCCATCAGGCCGCCGCAACAGAGTACCCACTAGAACGATATAAACCGGTATAAGAACTCATTCCTACCCATATCTGTGAACCTCCTGAATGCAGGCCATCGAGCAGAGCGGTGATGGTTTATGTCGGTGTTACTGTGTTGTGTTTTATGTCTGTCTTATGTGTATTTTCAATGTTGCAGCCTGTGAGTCCAAGACAAATTTCCTACGGGGCATAATAAATGAATCTTGAATCTTGAAGTTGCAGACCTAACCTTTAAATCTCTGTTGTTCAAAAATGACAATAGTGGGTTGATAACTATTTAAATAAACTTGACTTCTTGGTCTCTCAGATATTCGACACAACACTCTCAACATCAGGACAAGAGTGTGTGCAATACCAACATGCCATAATATATCAGTCCATCAGTGCACACATCAATATACAGAAAAAGACCACAATTAAAAACAGTATTTACACAACAAGCAACAAAGTACACATAAGGACTAAAGTGCTGGTACGGTGCAGATGAAGAAAGTACATAGTACATGCCCAAACCAAGTCACGCCTATCTCCGCTGTTCTAACTAATGGGCCAAAAATTGGGCTTTCATGGAGTGATTCAAAATGGCCACGGGGGCTGGAAAATGTGAAAAAACGCATCTGTGCATGCGTCAGCCGGCGCGAGCCCCATTCATTTAAACGAGTGACTTAAAAAATTCACAGCGAGTAAACTAGACTGGTCCAAAAAATTGACACTCCTCAGCATTGACACACATGTGGAACGGGGCTTTGGGCCAAGAGCCGACTTTTGGACCATCCTGTAAAGGTTTTTTTGAGAGGTAAGAAGATGCTATATGTTAGCATTGGCTAATTCTTAACCCGGGTCCACCTCCATCAGCCCGGGGTGGTATTGCAAGCATGTCAGCGCACGTCATTTGGGCCACTTTTGAGCCAGCACCCGTCCCCACTGGCGCAGTTGGAAACACTAAAAGCATTGCACTAAATACTTGTGTTACTCGTTTGGACTTTAAAGCTATTCACGTCCATGCAGTGCATTGGAATATACGTCCTTTTGAAGAAAAAGTAGCGCAGCTTTGTGCTGGCGTGACATTATATTTTCGAGTTTTGATGAAACAAGGAAGAGAATGTGTTTCGGGTTGCAGATTGTGACCAATCACAGCGGACCACTTTCGTGAGAAATCTACAGGTCCGTTAGCATAGACAGCTGAGTTAGCACAGACAGCTGAGTTAGCACAACAAGCGGCGGCGTTATCCTGAAACTTTCTCGTCTTCGACACCGGTTACTGCTTACACAGCGAGACAGCCATCCAAAAGAAAGTCTCGTTCCTCCGCGTTTCCCGGTTCTATCGTTCTATGGTCAAGCCATCCACGTGAAAATCCATATCCATGTATTATCCATATTGGGAGACGCTAGCTCCGTCAACAACAGTGAGTGTGTGTGGGGGGCGATAGCTTCGTGGGTTCGGGGAGGGGAGGAGAAAGAGAACAAGCCTATAATATCGGCATCGAGTATCGGTGCATTCCTACTCAAAACTCTTTGTGAATCCGCTCTGTCCCCACAGCGCCCCCTGTGGCCGAGCCAGTGAAGAAGAACCTGTCTGCGTTCTGCAGCGACATGTTGGATGAGTATCTGGAGATGGAGGGGAAGCTGCTGGACGAGCGTGCCTCCTCCTTCACCAGCGCCGACCCTCCGGCCCCTGTCACCTTTGACCTCTTTAGCAGCAGCTATGTGCACACTCTGCCCACCGCACTCACTGCTAACCCTGCAGTCACTGCTAACCCTGCGCTATCTGCTCACCCTGCCTCCAGCCTCATCTCTGGCTTTGTGCCTCCGTCCAAACGCCCCAAACCCGCCCCCAGCCGAGCAGCCAATAAAACGTTCAAACAGAAGAAGAAGGCAGCATCAGTAGAAGAAGCAAAGAAATTCCCAGAGCCCAAAAAACCCAAAGAGAAAAGCCATCTTTTCAAGTCTGCGTTTGTGTTCAATGACGACACACCATCGGTTCAGTTGAAGAAGTTCGGAGACGCAGATGTGAGCTTGTCGCTGGAGAACGAGAGTATGATGGACTCGTGCGATTTTATGGAGCCGCTTTGCCTCTCGCCGAAAAATAAAAGGAAAGGTGGAGGAGGGAGTGTGGACGCGGTCTCCCAGAGTCCCTCCAAGGGCTTCGACCCTAACCACACAGAGCCAATCTCTGAGGAGGCGAGTTCCAAGCCACCGGGGAGAGGGAGGAGGAGGAGGAGGAGGTACGAAGAGCTGGAACTGATGGCACCGCTGGAGTCTGATTCGGAGCTCTGCAACGAGGACGAGAAATTGATTCAGAGCCAGGCGAGCTTTGAGACGAGCCACATGGAGGGTCAGAAGGTCAGTCCCATGAACTATTACAGGTGTAGAACCACAGAGCGTATGTTAGGACAGTGATTCACACACTTTTTCTGCTGGGCCCTCCTTTGGTACATAAGTTTTGTTTGTGTCAGACCTCAACTTTTTTTTTTCTTTTTTTGAAAGAAAAAAAAAAGTGAACTGTCACAAACTGCAGATTGTAATAAGTGTAACAGTATTCAAGCACCTTACCTTTTTTTATATTCAACATTTAATCAAAAAAAAAGCCTCTCCTACAAAACCTAAATGTTTGTTGTGAAAAAATGGCACCTTAAATCCTCACATGTTTTCAGTGACTGATGTGGGCCTGCTTCATGCTGCAGCTCTTGTCAAATCTGGGTTGCAAGTTCCCACCCCCGCAATTTCTCTGCGCCTCCCCCTTTGGGAACCACTGTGTTAGGAGGTCTTTTGATCCCTGATATCGCTCGACCCAAATATTATCCATCTATCACAATAAGTGATACAGTGCCTTGCGAAAGTATTCAGCCCCCTTGAACCTTTCAACATTTTGCCACATTTCAGGGTTCAAACATAAAGATATAAAATTTTAATTTTTTGTCATGAATCAACAACAAGTGGGACACAATTGTGAAGTGGAACAAAATGTATTGGATAATTTAAACTTTTTTAACAAATAAAAACTGAAAAGTGGGGCGTGCAATATTATTCGGCCCCTTTACTTTCAGTGCAGCAAACTCACTCCAGAAGTTCAGTGAGGATCTTTGAATGATCCAATGTTGTCCTAAATGACTGATGATGATAAGTAGAATGCACCTGTGTGTAATCAAGTCTCCGTATAAATGCACCTGCTCTTTGATAGTCTCAGGGTTCTGTTTAAAGCGCAGAGAGAACCATGAAGACAAAGGAACACACCAGGCAGGTCAGAGATACTGTTGTGCAGTTAAAAGCCGGATTTGGATACAAAAAGATTTCCCAAGCTTTAAACATCTCAAGGAGCACTGTGCAAGCAATTATATTGAAATGGAAGGAGTATCAGACCACTGCAAATCTACCAAGACCCGGCCGTCCCTCCAAGCTTTCATCTCAAACAAGGAGAAGACTGATCAGAGATGCAGCCAAGAGGCCCATGATCACTCTGGATGAACTGCAGATAACTACAGCTGAGGTGGGAGAGTCTGTCCATAGGACAACAATCAGTCGTGCACTGCACAAATCTGGCCTTTATGGAAGAGTGGCAAGAAGAAGGCCATTTCTCAAAGATATCCATAAAAAGTTTTGTTTAAAGTTTGCCGCAAGCCACCTGGGAGACACACCAAACATGTGGAAGAAGGTGCTCTGGTCAGATGAAACCAAAACCGAACTTTTTGGCCACAATGAAAAACGATGTGTTTGGCGTAAAAGCAACACAGCTCATCACCCTGAACACACCATCCCCACTGTCAAACATGGTGGTGGCAGCATCATGGTTTGGGCCTGCTTTTCTTCAGCAGGGACAGGGGAGATGGCTAAAATTGATGGGAAGATGGATGGAGCCAAATACAGGACCATTCTGGAAGAAAACCTGTTGGAGTCTGCAAAAGACCTGAGACTGGGACGGAGATTTATCTTCCAACAGGACAATGATCCAAAACATAAAGCCAAATCTACAATGGAATGGTTCACAAATAGACGTATCCAGGTGTTAGAATGGCCAAGTCAAAGTCCAGACCTGAATCCAATCGAGAATCTGTGGAAAGAGCTGTGGACTGCTGTTCACAAACGCTCTCCATCCAACCTCACTGAGCTCGAGCTGTTTTGCAAGGAAGAATGGGCAGGAATTCCAGTCTCTCGATGTGCAAAACTGATAGACCTACCCCAAGCGACCCCAGCTGTAATTGCAGCAAAAGGTGGCGCTACAAAGTATTAGCACAAGGGGGCCGAATAATATTGCACGCCCCACTTTTCAGTTTTTTTATTTGTTAAAAAAGTTTAAATTATCCAATAAATGTTGTTCCACTTCACGATTGTGTCCCACTTGTTGTTGATTCTTGACAAAAAATTAAATTTTTATATCTTTATGTTTGAAGCCTGAAATGTGGCGAAATGTTGAAAGGTTCAAGGGGGCCGAATACTTTCGCAAGGCACTATATGTACTATTAGAGTGTGAGCCGATGGTAATGTTGCTTTCTATCTAATCTCTGCATCTTTCAGGAGGAGGTGAAGGAGGAGAAGAAGCCCACGCGGCTGCTGGTGACCAAGGCGCTGGTGAAGCAGAGAGACATGGAGCAGAGAGGATTCTGGGAAGGAAAGCCTCGCACTTATGTAACGCAGGAGCGCGCTACTGTGGCCTTGAGCTCCCTGTTCACTCTGAAGGTACCATCATCATTATCATCATCATCATCATCATTTTTATTATTGTTATTACAATTATTATGATGATGAAGAAATGCCATCTTAGTGCAGTTTACACCCAAGAAGCTACAAATCTGTTACTGAACTGCAGGCACGGTTTGGCTTACAAAGTAGCGTGTTTGTTCATAGGACACTAGCATCTGTGTCGTGTTAGTGACTTTGGACTCTGAGGAGCACAGGGACAATCTGCTTCTGGTCCTTCTGACTACATGTGTGTCTGTCTCAGGGCTTCGTGGCAGAGGACCCGCGTCTTCCGCTTCGACTGACTCCTCGTCCGGCCCCTCGGTGTCTGAATGACTTCTGTCGACTCGGCTGCATGTGCTCCAGCCTCAACTACCGCTCCAGACCCTCGCACTGCCGTCGCGCCCAATGCCTGCTGCGTTGCTCCTGCCTCAAGCAGAAGGTGGTGCTGCTTAGGAACCTGGACTCCATGGCTCACTCTGGAAGGAAGAGGAAGAGGAGGAGGAGGATGAAGATGGCGTATGGTGAGAGCTGAGGCCAGACTGTGGATGTGTTCCTGTTGTAGACTTGTATTTTAGTGTTTAAACAGGTGCCAACACACAACTCCTAGACAACAATAATGTAATTACTTCTAGGCACCTTTTATGAGAAAAGATTAATTGCACATTACAGCAGATATGAGATTTGAGAGACTCAGGTTATGCACATCAACATTTTGATGTATTTTGTTAGGAGCGCGTTGGACCAAAATTCTGTTCATGAGCACTAAGGGTGTCACCGTATGAATATGTATTCTCACATTTATTGTGACAAATTATCAAGGTTTTCGGTATTGCGTTACTTTTAGGACCGGGACTTTACGCAGGTCATTATTGGAAAATAAGTACCGACAGGAGCAGGATTACTATTGCAACAACACATCATCAGTAGGGTAGGCTAACCTGTCTCACGACGGTCTAATAAAATAAGTACCTGAAGGTACTTATTTTCTGATAATGACTTGCGTAATATACATTATTCCGCTTATTATACGACAGAACACACAAAATAAACTTCAGTCCACTCTTAGGAATGCCGAAAGGTTTATTTAATGACAGAAAATAAAATAGTTCCCAAGGGCTTTCCCTTGGCTATGTGAGTAACAGTTAGGCTAGCATCTTCCAAACTAGAACTCTCTCGAACTGCATGAAAACTTAACCAAGAATTCTGAACATCAGCGGTGAGCCATACATGAACTTAACATAAATCTTCCAGGTTTTTCGCGATCACTTTTTCTCGCATTAAAACCGTATTTTTGTCATGAAAACCTTAAGATACTTCTGAAAGCCTCCATGCATGTGTATAAGAATGTATATTTATAATATATTCTCCGATTTAAATGTGTTGATTGATTGGTATTCGCGTTTATTGAGCGTGGCCAGCTCCGGAGTGGCCGGAACTACTTGCGGAGTAATCTACACATCTGATTTACAAGCAGAGGGTGCGTTGCCATGGGCAGCAGTCATTATTGTTTTGAGAGTCCGTTATCAAGAAATAATGACCGGTAGAACGTTTCAAAATTTGTTCTACTGTCCGCAGCAGCGGACAGTTTTTGAAAATTTACAAAATAAGTAGTGGCTATGTTTCTTAGCTAACATAACTAGCTGGAGATGCTGAAAATGCTTCAATACCAGTCAAAAAATATATACATGTATTAGTGCAGAGTTATGGAGGACCAAAACTGTCAAAATTAAATGAATAAATACATAAATGTCACATTCTGCCAATAATTAAGATAACACAACAAATCATGATATTTAATAAATATATATATTATTATTAAACAAAGTTTTTTGGTTCCAACAAAATAATAAAGCTTTATTATTTTTCTGTTCGTTCAAAGGTCAAGATTAAAATAAATATATTTTTTATTATTTAACTGCAGCTTTGTGCCCAAAGAGATAATAAAATCTCATTTTTTTCTTTCCCCATGTATTTCTTTTCTTCATATTTTATTTTTATTGATGTTCTGTTTTATTATTTCACGACATATTCTTTCCTCGTGTCTTGATAATAAAATGCAAATGAAGGGGGCGGGCCACAGACAGCGAGACGAAAGCAATCGCCTCCTGCAGACTGACCAGACCAAACCGTGCTTAACAGTGCTGCAATTTGACTTCCCCACACGGACTGCAGAGAGCTCCTGGTCCAGCTGTGGAACAAGATGTGTGTCTGAAGTGGATGAAAATATATAAACCTAGATGGCTATAAGCGAAACAAGAAAGCATTGGTAAGTTTAGCTTTGATTATTACATCTGAGAAAACCACTGGTTGCTGTTTAGAAATGACATGAGTGTAAAAAGTAACTGCTACATTTGCTAACTTCGTTAGCCTGTTAGCCTCGTTAGCCTGTTAGCTTCTTTAGCCTGTTAGCCAGATGCAAAAGCTCTGACGTGCTCTTGACAGGACCTGCAATGCACTTTCTGTATATGTGCATTCACTTCATGTTAGTTCTTGTTTACGTTGGATTACACGTTTGCTAAAAAAGTAATTTGCAAAGTGGAGCTTGTGGGACTCTTTTTGGAATTTGCCAGATTATTACAAGTTAGCTAACTGTTAATGGTAATACACACTCAGTAATGCTTTTAGATGAGCATTTACACTCATACAATAATAGCGCATTCATTAAATGAATTAATTAATTTTCATTTTACGTGGGGGTCACGAGTTGACAGTTCTGGCTTCAAATCCCACAAGATCATCCTTATTAAGTAGAATTAAAACCTTAAAATCATTACTACATTACTAATGTATTTTTCTTCTATTCCAGGTATGTGGGAAACATTTTCCTAATGGACAACCCACCAGAGAAAATCGCCATCCTGTGTTGCTTATGGCTTATGGGTTATGATTGTTGTGTAAGTATATAATGATATTTTTAATATCCTTCATTGTTTTGTTTAACTAATATACAGCAAAACATTTCTGTTAGGTAACACCTGCTAGACCCCCCCCAAAAGAGATGTATTTTGGCAGTACACCAGAACTCAACTACTGAACCTGAACCTGGAGAAGATGAAGAGAATTTGGAGAAAATCCTTCTACTGACGTGTGATGTTGGAGTCCAGTGGCCAGATCACAACTAGTTTCTGCAGTAATTTGAAGATGAAGGACTGTGGTCCTCAAACTATCAGCACAGCATTTAGATAAGAAAGACTTTGTTTTACACAGGTGTATGTGCTGACTCTTTCTGGGAACTTTTGAGAGTCCTGCTGACTTTTTGCCACAATCACTTAATATGAAATTGTAACTGTGTATTTTCTACTGTCTCTGGGGCTACACTAGACACATTCTAGACCTCGAATGGGGGCATCATGTAAACATGGCTCTAACACGGTCAACGACTCAACTCATACTGTTCAATTGACGCATATTTATCTTATTTAAAGACCTTATGCCGGGTTTGATTTATTTAGAAATACAATTTTAATACCATTTTATATTAGAAGAGAACTACTAAAGGTTTCAAAATCAGTTGTTGTTTTTTCTGTCTGATCCCCCTAAATCGAAATAACCCCATAGCAACGCCCTTAGAAACGAAAAACTTCACAGCCCTTGGTGACGTCAGAGTGGGTACGTTTCAACGCTGTAAGTTGTTTACAATTTGGTATTCGTTCTTTTTTTGCGGAGATTCAAGATGACAAGGCGGTGTACAGCGAGTCTAAGCTAACTACTAGATGCTAACACTTCGTTGTCACTGAGATAGTCCAGTTGTTGTGACGATGGACTGCCAATCCAGATACTGAGGTTCAAATCCCACCTCAGACACTTTTTCACTCTCAAAACGGCAATTTATGTGTAGTGAGCAATTGTCACCTGTAGAGTGCAGTATTGTGTTGGGCATCAGTGGAGAGAAGAGAGAAAAGGCGAGTATCTGTGGCATAGATCCATGGTTTTCAATGCATGGGCGTTACCCGCTATGACGTCACACACAGGTTAGAGCATAGACAACTTAAATTCATGAAAAACACGTTCTTTTTATAAAATATAGGATTTTTTTTGCCGGAATCTCTTTCAGATTGACATTGTCATGCAATTTTGATATCCAAATTAAAAAAAAAAAAACCTGGCATAAGGTCTTTAAGCCCGACATTTAACTGTCATACAGTGTCCTGTCATTACCTGCATTAGTCAGTTTTGGCCAGTACCTGACGTCCTCTACCAATGTTCACTTTCCTTTGCTTTGGTGATGGTGACGAGAGTGAGTATAGACTCTAATGGAGACAATATAATTTTTAATTGTTGTTGAAATAATTGTTTTACAGCTTAAGTGATAACCCTAACCCTATAGGGGTGAAGAAGAAATATGTATTTGTCAAAAAACCGAATCCTGTATGAACCTAAAAAAATGAATAAAAACTAATATTATCACATCATTCATTGAAAATCCAGCAGAGGGCGCCGATAAGTCACAATAGCAGGCACGCAGTTATAACTGATATGACAAGATGGTGGTCTGCAAACATTTTTTGGAAGATTTGTCTTTAGTTACAGTCTTGTTATGGTAATTTTCACATTGTGGTTTTTTTCACATAAATGGCAGGAATTTATGGATTAATCCATCAAAAAGTGTGAGTCAGACCTCACACTGTGGGTCAGACCACCTCACATTATGGGTCAGACCTTCTCAAACTGTTGGTCAGACCTCTCAGTGGGTCAGACCTCCTCACACTGAGTCAGACCTCACTGAGTCAGACCTCATACTGTAGGTCAGACCTCCTCTCTGGGTCAGACCTCACACTGTAGGTCAGACCTCCTCTCTGTGCGTCAGACCTCACACTGTGGGGCATGGAGAGATATCAAGGAAACGTATGTATGCAGCTGATCTCTGATGATAGACTGCTTTGGTCTAACTTTCTGTAGCTCCGCCTCCTTCATTTGCATTTAATTTTCAAGACGCGAGAAAGGAATAATGTGTCGTGAAATAATAAAACAGAACATCAATATTAATAAAAATATTAAGAAAATAAATACACGGGGGAAAGAAAAAAAATGAGATTTTATTATTTCTTTGGGCACAAATCTGCAGTTCAATAATAAAAATATATTTATTTTAATCTTGACCTTTTGAACGAACAGAAAAATAATAAAGCTTTATTATTTTGTTTGGAACCAAAAAACGTATAATATATATTTATTAAATATCATGATTTGTTGTGCGATCTTAATAATTATTGGCAGAATGTGACAATTCTTTATTCATTTATTTATATTATTATATACTGTACTTATTGTGCAGGATAATAAGTAGATAATTAAAGTGACATTGTTCAGTAGATATTCGGAAGTTGCAGTATTGCACATAATTTAAGAATTTACTTATTTACAGATGAATGAAATTTAATACAGTCAATTTCACTAAAATGGTTAAAGTAAACGAAGTGCATGGTATTGTTGTGCCTTCATCGAACGCTCAATAATGCCGTGTCTTAATTTCACCGTTTTATCTATTACTGTTTTTTAATAGTCCACTTGTCCTCCCATCTCTGTGTGGAGTGAGAGGACAAGTGCCCAAAAATAATAACAATTGTAAACCGCTTTGTGACTCTGGTCTGTGAAAGGCGGTATATAAAGATTACTTACTTACTTACTTTCTGTTTAGCTTAGCATCTAGCTGCTAACAGGCAGCTAGATGCAGATAGGCTGCGGCTGTGTTAACATTATTGACAGACGGATATCCAGACATATTGTTGCGTTCTCTCTCAACACAAAGTCCCCCCGCATCATCTATTTCAGCTTAATGTTATCTTACCTAGCATTGGCTATGCAGGATCCATCAGATGTCCCTCGACATACTTTAAAAATCCAATGCCCTCACTTAGGCTAATAAATGTCCTAAAGGTAAAGGTGAGCAAGAGTGAGATTGACGCACACATCCACTTCAAAGTAGCGTGCAAAAAAGTCAAAAAATAAATCAATGAAAAAATGGATGACTGCACAGCTTTTGCTCCCAAGAGATTTTAATTCTCACCACACATTGTGACGTTTCGGGTCACTACCCTTCATCAGACATGTCCTAAAGGTAAAGGTGCACTTTATTTATCCCCCTACAGCAATTCATCTTCTGCATTTGACCCATCCTGATGATACGGCCTATGTCAGGAGCAGTGGTCGCCGTAGTAACAGCGCCCGGGAACCCATCTCCAGATGTTGATGTTGAGGATTTAACCTAGTGTGCATGTTTTTAGTCGTAGGGGAAACCATAGCACCTGGATTAAACCTACGTAGGCATGGGGAGAACATGAAAATTCCACTCAGAAAGGCCCTGATCCAGCCGGGATTCAAACCCGGGACGTTTTTGCTGAGAAGCGGGAGTGCTATCCTCTCAGCCACCGTGCTGACCATGGGCTGTTGTCTCCTCCTTCGGCCTAAAAGTGCACCTGCTCAGCAACTTCAGCAGCCACAGAGACACCCCATTTAAAAATTCAGACTATAAATAGTAAATTTTTACCCGGGTTTACTGCTACACCGGTAATCGTGATTGTCATCTCTAATGAGCACTTCTCTATTGTATTAACTTAAGTCTATGATGAAACATCCTGAGTTTTCAAAGTGTTTAGTCTGACCTCGTTCCTTTCTCTCACAGTGCTTAAGGAGGCAGAGACCGTGTCGCAGCCCGCCCCTCCTGTCCGGACTTTGTGGACCAAAACCGACTCAGACCCAGACCAGGTCTCTGTCCCTCCTGTGTCCGGTTCCATCCAGACGACAGACCAGGTGAGAACCCTGCGTTTACATGTGAATCGGATTCCTATGTGCTGAAAGAGGCTGGAACTGTAATATGTGTGTCCAGGAGGAATCCATCCTCCTGTGGACTCCTCTTGCAGGTGGCAAGTCCACAAGAGGATGGCTGCTCTTGTCTGAGCTCTTGTTTCAGCGTCCTCAGGCTTTCAAAGACGTCTTTAACGTATTCTTTTATTACTCTCATTGTGTAACCGTGATAGTTAATAAAAGTAATATCACTCAAACATTACACATAAACACATCACAAATGTAATCGCACATGAGACCAGAGACAAGAGTATCTACACTGAGTAAGTAATCTTTTTGTACATAGCGCCTTTTACAGACCAGTGCCACAAAGCGCTTTACATTTGTTGTGAGCATTTGTGTCTCATTCCACACACAGATGGGAGCGAGGTCACCCTACAGGAGGCGCATGCCAGACCTATTGTGCAAGTTTTTAGTGGTAGGGGAAACCGGAGCATCCATCCATCCATCCATCCATTTTCTTCCCTTTAATCCATTTCTGGGTCAGGGGGGTGGCAGTCAGAGCTGCCACCCAAGTCTCTTAGCACCAGCCCCTCACTGACCCTCTGCAGGTGGTGAGTCCACAGGAGGACGGCTGCTCTCTGAGTGTGAGCATAGCCTTGATCTTTCAGTGGGGGCTTTGGGCAAAGTGGGGTTAAGTGTCTTGCCCAAGGACACAACGACAGCAGTCATCAGTGGGAGTCGGTGGAGAAGGTGCAGAGGTGGGAATTGAACCCAGGACCTTCTGGCCTTAAGGCCAATGCTCTACCAACTGAGCTACTGTCGCCCAACCGGAGCACCCGAAGAAAATCTATGCAGACAAAGGAGAACATACAAACTCAGAAACTCCCTGTTCCCACCTGGATTTGAACCCAGGACCAGAGAGTGAGGACCAGAGAGTGAGGACCAGAGAGTGAGGACCAGAGAGTGAGGACCAGAGAGTGAGGACCAGAGAGTGAGGACCAGAGAGTGAGGACCAGAGAGTGAGGACCAGAGAGTGAGGACCAGATTATTTGTATAGCACAATTCATACACAAGGCAATTCAAAGTGCTGAACAAAATAAGAAAGCATTAAAATCATAAATAATCACAGAACATAAAAAATAAAGATGAAAATATAAAATCCCTCAGTTGTATGCACAGCTAAACAGAACTGTCTTTAACCTGGTTTTAAACATTGTCAGAGAGGAGGCCTGTCTCACATCTTCAGGAAGACTGTTCCATTTTAGTAGCATGAATCTGAAAAGCTGCCTCCCCATGTTTAGTTCTGACTCTGGGCACTAACAGGAGTCCAGTCCCTGTGCTCCTCAGAGTCCGGGCTGGTTCATATGGGACTAACATGTCACTAATATATTTTGGTGCGAGGCCATGGAGAGACTTGAACACAAGCAGAGCTGTTTTAAAGTCTATTCTCTGAGCCACAGAAAGCCAGTGCAGAGACCTGAGGACTGGACTAATGTGGTCGTACTTCCTGGTTCTAGTCAGGACTCGAGCTGCTGCATTTTGAATGTACTGCAGCTGTTTTACAGCCTGTTTGGACAGACCTGTGAGCAGGCCATTGCAGTAGTCTAACCTACTGGAGACAAATGCATGGATAAGAATCTCCAAGTCTGCTTTAGACACTATGTTTTTGATCCTGGCAATGTTTTTAGATGGTAAAAAGCTGCTGATGTTACTGATTTGATGTGGCTATTAAAATTTAAGTCTGAGTCCAGTATTACTTCTAGATTTCTGATCTTGTTTGAAGGTTTTAGGGAGAGAGACTGTAGGTGACAGATGACGCTCTCTCTTTGTTTCTGGGGACCAAAGACAATCATTTCAGTTTTGTCTGTGTTTAGCTGAAGGAAGTTGTTTTGCACTTCACTGATCTGTTGGATACAGTGAAGGAGTGAGTCCACTGGTCCATGTTCTCCTGCAGTCAGTGAGACATAGATCTGAGTGTTGTCTGCATAGTTGTGATAGGACACTTTGTTTCTGCGTATTAACTGACCTAACCTGTCCCAGGATCGACCCCTGTGGTACTCCACAGGTCAGGGCCATATGATCTGAGACACAGTTTACAATCTCCACAAAGTACTTCCTGTCTTCAAGGTAAGACCTAAACCAACTTAGGGCGGTGCCAGCGACGCTAACCCAGTCCTCTAATCTCTGTTAGAGGATCTCATGGTCGACAGTGTCAAAGGCAGCACTTAGATCTAACAAGATTAAGATTGAGACTTTGCCTGCGTCAGTGTTCAGCCGGATATCGTTTGTAACCTTGACGAGAGCAGTCTCAGTGCATTGGTGGGGTCTAAAGCCGGACTGAAACATATCAAATGAGTTGTTGATTATAAGAAATCTAGTAAGCTGCAGGTAGACAACTTTCTCAAGGACTTTCCCCATAAATGGCAGATTTGAGATGGGACAATAGTTGTTTTTTTTTTTTTTGTGATCAAATTTTTATTGGGTTGTGCGGGTTATAAGTTTTACATAACAATTTCATATGCAGCACAGATTTTTTTTATATTTTTTCCCCCCCTCACCCTTTGTGTTAATGGGTCTTTTAGTATGAGCAGAAATGCACAATACATGTTCATGTGAATTTTAAGGAAATAAAGATACAATAAAACAATACCACACTTAGATACTACACACTCACACACTCACTCACACCCCCATGTCCCACCCCTACTGTCCAGGCATGGTAACAAAAAATAAAAAGCAAAAGGCAAAAAGCAAACAAACACAAGTCTTGGTAGTCAAGAGTGATAGACAGAACAAACATATTTGCTAATTTCTTCCGTCAGTGACATCTACAGAAATAGCTTTGGATACATATAGTTATGTAACATTTACACTGTATTTGGAATACATATCGTTATGTACTGTACATTCATAGTTATTACGTACAATCAAAGCATTTGCAATCAAGTTTCACACAGTAGCTGCATTTTATGTAACAGATTTGACCAACATGAGATATTTTCGCTTTTGGCGCCGTGGATCCGGGCTGCTGAAAGCTCCATCTGGACAATGTCTTTAAATGATGAGAGCCATTGCTCCACACTCAGGGTTTGTCTAAGTTTCCATCGACATGCTATCATCTTTTTAGCAGCTGTGAGACCAGCTAGAATTTGGCGGCGTTCATTAATAGGGACAATAGTTGTTAAGTACCGTAGCATCTAGACTGCTCTTTTTTAGCAGGGGCCTGATGACTGCCGTTTTCAGGGCCTTTGGGAATATTCCAGAATGAAGGGACATGTTTACTATCTGTGTGAGTGTAGGTAACAGACTGCTCAGAACAGACTTCAGAAATCTAGTGGGTAGTACATCCAGGCTGCAAGTGGAGGAGCTCAGACTGGAGATTATCTCTTGGACAGTTTGATCATTTACAGGTGCAAAGTGAGTTAGCGCAGAGAGCCTTTCTGGCTGTTGGATGGTTATCTGTGGATTGGAGACTGAGGACTAGAGACTGAGGACTAGAGACTGAGGACTAGAGACTGAGGACTAGAGACTGAGGACTAGAGACTGAGGACTAGAGACTGAGGACTAGAGACTGAGGACTAGAGACTGAGGACTAGAGACTGAGGACTAGAGACTGAGGACTAGAGACTGAGGACTAGAGACTGAGGACTAGAGACTGAGGACTAGAGACTGAGGACTAGAGACTGAGGACTAGAGACTGAGGACTAGAGACTGAGGACTAGAGACTGAGGACTAGAGACTGAGGACTAGAGACTGAGGACTAGAGACTGAGGACTAGAGACTGAGGACTAGAGACTGGGGACTAGAGACTGGGGACTAGAGACTGGGGACTAGAGACTGGGGACTAGAGACTGGGGACTAGAGACTCCCACAGATGCTTAGCACTTGTTGGCCCTTTCGTCTTCACTGTGTGGTCCAGCCCCAAAACCATCTGGATTGGGTCCAGCCCCAAAACCATCTGGATTGGGTCCAGCCCCAAAACCATCTGGATTGGGTTCAGGTCCAAAACCATCTCGATTGGGTTCAAGTCCAGACTGTGGAGGCCTGGTCAACTGGCCCAGCACCCCACCACTCTCCTTATTGGTTAAATAGCCCTTACACAGCCTGGGTGTGAATCTACAGTCAATAGTCATGAAAAGAAAGGACACTCATTGAATGAGAAAGTGTGTGCAAACTTTTGGTCTGTACTGTATATCTATCCTGTATACCGCACAGAATGAGAGCCTTTTGACTCCAAAACAGACAAGATTTACATGATTTTCAATGGGAGCAAAACTGAGTTGTTTCTGAGTTGAAACAGAACGGTGTCTATACTTTATGTCAAATTAAAGGCGCTATACCCGTTTCTGCAATGTTTGAATGTTTAGCACCGCCCCCCAACTCGCTCAATGGCTTCTCATTTCCCCTACGCTCTCATAACACAGAGCCATCCATCCATCCATCCATTTTCTACCCTTTAATCCATTTCTGGGTCAGGGGGGTGGCAATCAGAGATGCCACCCAAGTCTCATAGCACCAGCCCCTCACTGACCCTCTGCAGGTGGTGAGTCCACAGGAGTATAACACAGAGCCACCTAGTTTTATTTGCGATCTGATACATATGCTAACATTAGCATTAGCGCAACTTCTTGTAAGCTGTGCAACAATCACTGATGAAATAGCACTAAAGCAACGCACTGCTAACACAATATATAAGTAAAAGAATACCGCTAGTTTCGCGTCCGAATGTATTAATTTAAAACCTTAGAATATATTCTAATATTTAATTATAATTTGTTATAGAGCTCCTCAAAGCAGCAGCAGCAATTCTTCCGATAATTTTTCTTGATAACAGAACTCTCAAACCAATAATGACCGAAGCCCCAATGCAACCTCTGTTTGTAATTCAGGTGTGTAAAATACTGCCATTACTCTGCAAGTACAACAAGCTATCAGCACCTGTCACTACACACTTGTCTGTGTAGAGAAGCCAACGGAGCTAGCGGAGCTAGCCACGCTCAATAAACAACTAAATATCTATAAATCAACACCATTAAACGTCAATCGGACAATACAGTACACATATACACCCTTAACACACATGCACGGATGATTTCAGAATTTGCTGTTAACGTTTTCATGACAAAAATACTGTTTCAATGTGACAAAAAGCGATTGCTTTTTGCTTTGGGAGCTAACTATTTTATTTGCAGTCATTAAATACATTTCGAATTACAAGGGTTGTCTAATATTTGTTCACATTTTTTTATTCAATTATTTTGTTCATCATTTTTTATTTTAGAATTATATTCGAATTTTGAAGTCCTGGTGTTAAGCAGCGCTGTAGGGGCTAGAGGACGCAGGCTGTTCGCTGCTCGTTCTGTGAGCGGAGGAGAAAGAGCGCCCCGCTCAGACTCTACTCAGCACTTTTCACTGCTTGTAATTCTTACACAGCTGAATCAATTACCTCAATTTTTCAATTAAATGATGTATTATGATACAACTTGTATGTAGTAAAAAGCATTTTTATGAACTACTTCACTACTACAAAATCGGGTATAGCTTCTTTAAAAACGGTTGGTCCTGTCTCGCTAACTTACCCTTAGTTTTCATCACGACTCGGGCACATGTGAGTCCAACAACTAATGAAAAGCACTTGCATACAGCGCCGCACCGGCTCCACACGGAGTCCAGGTATGTTCACAGACGGTGGAAACCGTGGGAATTTTTGGTTTTCGCCGGATAAAGTGCGGAAGATTCTCAAGATATGCACATTATTACATTGCCATTTTCCGAGGGAGGGCACTGGGGGTGGCAAGGGTATTTTTATAGGTGGCAGTGGCCACCCTAGCTATACCCCTCTGGCTCTGCCACTGGTCTGGTGATACATGGTTTAAGTGGCACCAGCAAGAATACAGGAGGGAGGAACTTTCTCTCGTTGCCTTTCAAAAGAGAAAACAGATGTCACTCAGTTTTCAATGGAAAACAAATTCTAACGTTCATTTACAATGATGTCTGCCGTTCATGACACATAATGTGAACTAATTCAAGTTCAAGTGAAAAAAACAAACCTTTTTGCGTTCAGTTTAACGTTCACAATGAGAGTGTTCAATGAACGCGTTCTTTTGAACTCATTCACGCACAACACTGGGACTCACTAGTCCTCATCTCTTCTATTACACACTTTAATTTTGTCTTGTGCTTGCGTATGCATCCACTATGTTGTCATAGATATTGTTTTGTTCTATTGTTGTGTTGTTATATTACTGGCAGCACCAGAATCTCCTGAGAGATCCAATAATCTAATCTGTATCAGCCACAGAAGCAAAGTTAGTGTCCCCTTCAAACTCTTTTTTTGAACTATTCTCAGGTGAAAGAGCCGGGACGAGAAGGCGAGGCACAGATCAGCACCAGGGTCAAGCCAGATCAGAAGAGAAAAGAAAAGATCAATCTACATGTGAGTACAGCACTGTAATCTAATTTATGATATAATCTAATCTCCAAAAACGCTTTCTGATGTCTTCTCTCTGTCTTCTCTCTCTTCAGCGGCTGCCGGATCCAGACCCCAAACCTCTAGGTCAGATGGTTTATATTTACTATTCCAATGTGTCTTTTTTAGCTTTAAAAGTCCTATATTTATTTTTCCGCAGTCCATGCTATGCACATTTGTGATAATGATTTGGGTGATGCGCCATACAACATTCAAAACTTGATGATGATAGCCATTTCTTGCATAGAGCTGATGTCACCTCAATGCAAACGGTTCTGTGCTCTTTCCCTGAGAGCCTGCCTCGCCCCACCCGAGCGGTGACGTAGCCTCACGCTGACTTTGTAAACACAGAACTATTTAGCGTTCACCAATACATAATCATTTTAGACCTGAGAATAAACTTTTTCTAACAATGACAGTCCATGGAGCCCAGAGCCCCTCGAGAATCGGACTAATTATTTAGTTCACAGAAGTATACGGCGATTTGGTTGCATTGTACTTGCAGATCGGAGCTCTTCGTTAGCGTATTCTATCGTGGGAATAACACAGATCAGCTTTTGAGTACGTTCAGTTTCATGGTTACATTCTTTGGAGACAAACGCAGATTTGTCACGGATATCCCTGTGAATAGAATGTCCAGCTACATTCATACATTCTTTGTCTTCTGGTCAAATTCACAATGTTACATCCATAAACAAATTTCTCGAAGTTTACACGATGCTAACACTTTTAGGTGCTGTCAATAGCAGAAAAACAGCATAGAAGCGAACACGGACTGTGGTAAACCATGCACTGGGAAAGGCTGTGGGCTGAAACGCAGATTTGTTGCAGATTTCAAAGGCTGATCCCTGTGAATAGAATGTCCAGCTACATTCTTCGTCCTTGGGTCAAATTCACATATTTACACCCAAAACCACATTTTCTCCAAGTTGTCATGATGCGAACACATACTGTGGTAGCTGGTCTGAAACACTAAGACAGACTGTGCACTAATTCTCTGTTTTGGTTTCTCTATCCTGTCAATCACCTCCTGGAGGCAGGGCTTCTGCTGCATGCTACGTAAAAAAGTGAATCAGACCGTTTTGGAGCCTCTTGAGAATGAAGGAGGAAGAAACTAAAGCTTGAGGGAATCAATAAAAAAACTTCCCTTGATATGTGTATGAAGGCCAAATAGCATTGTAATGATGGTTAAACATCGTCATATGGGACCTCTAAAAGTGTTACTATAATGTTCTGTTTTCTGCACTGAGCCGAGTGACATGGATTTTTATTACGTTGAATGTTTGGTTTTGAAGTTACACACCACGGCTTTAAGTTAAGCTTCTTCATTTCCTCACATGGTTCTGTTTCTGTTGTAGCTCTCAGAAATCGAGAACGTCTGAGCAGCAAGAAACACAGCGTCAACCCAGACGCTGCAGTAACCATAGTTACCACGGTAACTGTCTATTTTAACCACAGATACCACATTAAAACACAATACCGAGACATCGAAGGATGCTGATCTGTGGTTGTTTCACAGGAGTCTGAAGAGAGCTGTGCCCGGGTCCGAGAGTTCAGAGGTTGCACTCAGAGGACACAGGTGACGAGAACTTTGGTTGCAGTCTATACAGTCATATAGAGTTAGATACAGTTGTATAGAGTTAATATGCAGTTTGTACACAGTTTAGATCAGTGGAGCCCAACCTGCAATAGGATTCTGAATAAGTTGTTATGAAAGTCATTTTGTCTATTTGAATCAATAGCCTGTACTCACTGCCACATGGTATCAACATGGAAGACAAATATCAGCAGACACATTCAGCCTCTGGTCCGCATCTGACCAGCAGCTGCAGGGTGTGTGGTACTTTCACAGTTTGAGGCGAGCACCTGTGCGGTCTGATCAGAGCGGACAAGAGCGAGCAGAGTTTGTTGCACTAATATGTGTTTATTGAAAGCCATGGGATTTAAAGAGACACAGAAATCTGACCGCGAGCTTTGCAAGTTCTAAAACTGTTTATTCTGTTCTGTTACAGACAACCACAGAGAACTCCTCAGCCACCAAAGGTGAGATCTGACTGTTATGGAGACATATATATATGACTCTTGCATATTCGCGTTGAGACTCCTTTCACTAACATACATTTAAGATGGTTGTATCATAGGCCAGGTTAGCATTCTCGATCTGTATACAGGCTATGGGTTTGACCTAACGTTTTGCAGAGAAGTTCTTCCTAGTTCTATAAAGGGTAACTGTTCTAAAACCACTATAGATATTATGTTTGTCTCTGTTTCAGCCTCTGCTCTAACCTCCTCCATTGCCACTTCCCCCCTCTCCAAGCGCCTGGTGTTGCTGGCAAACTGTAAGTGGCAGAACGAGGGGGACCGTGTGTCGGTGCTAAAGGTTCTGTGTGAGGCTCTGACGCTGGGCACTCTGGAGCGGCCCTTCTGGATCGGACCCTACTTTGTTTCGCCCTTCAGCCCCACACAGGTGCAGAAGAACGGAAAGATGTGTGCGGAGGTTCGGGTCCATATCTCCACTCCCAAAGCCATCGCCAGGCCTGGGAGGAGCAGGGAGGGTCCTGAAACAGAGCACTGCAGCAGCCAGGGGAAACAGGTGAGGCTTCTGCTCAGGGTTTTGTTTGTAAATCTATTCAATTCATTTTAGTCTTGCATTGCCTTACATCACAACAGTAGTTATCACAAAGGACTTTACTAAGCCGTTGAATTTGCTAACACAGATCAGAGAATCAAACAGTTCAAAAACAGAAAATGCAATGATAATTAAAGTTGCAAGCGGCGTCAAATGGCCCTCCGCACCGCGCAAAGGAGGTGACACCACCGTGCCATAATTGTATCCCGTAGCCATGGAAATTTGTAATAAATATGATCAGTTGGTTTGGCTCCCCATGTAAAACTTTTGCTCAGAAACTTTGTATGTATATGTGTATATATATACATACAGTGCCTTGCGAAAGTATTTGCAAGTATTATTTACTTGAACCTTTCAACATTTCGCCACATTTCAGGCTTCAAACATAAAGATATAAAAATTTAATTTTTTGTCAAGAATCAACAACAAGTGGGACACAATCGTGAAGTGGAACAAAATGTATTGGATAATTTAAACTTTTTTAACAAATAAACTGAAAGGTGGGGCGTGCAATATTATTCGGCCCCCTTGCGCTAATACTTTGTAGCGCCACCTTTTGCTGCAATTACAGATGCAAGTCGCTTGGGGTATGTCTCTATCATTATATTCTTCCTTGCAAAACAGCTCGAGCTCAGTGAGGTTGGATGGAGAGCGTTTGTGAACAGCAGTCTTCAGCTCTTTCCACAGATTCTCGATTGGATTCAGGTCTGGACTTTGACTTGGCCATTCTAACACCTGGATACGTCTATTTGTGAACCATTCCATTGTAGATTTGGCTTTATGTTTTGGATCATTGTCCTGTTGGAAGATAAATCTCCGTCCCAGTCTCAGGTCTTTTGCAGACTCCAACAGGTTTTCTTCCAGAATGGTCCTGTATTTGGCTCCATCCATCTTCCCATCAATTTTAGCCATCTTCCCTGTCCCTGCTGAAGAAAAGCAGGCCCAAACCATGATGCTGCCACCACCATGTTTGACAGTGGGGATGGTGTGTTCAGGGTGATGAGCTGTGTTCCTTTTACGCCAAACATATCGTTTTGCATTGTGGCCAAAAAGTTCGATTTTGGTTTCATCTGACCAGAGCACCTTCTTCCACATGTTTGGTGTGTCTCCCAGGTGGCTCGTGGCAAACTTTAAACGAGACTTTTTATGGATATCTTTGAGAAATGGCTTTCTTCTTGCCACTCTTCCATAAAGGCCAGATTTGTGCAGTGCACGACTGATTGTTGTCCTATGGACAGACTCTCCCACCTCAGCTGTAGTTATCTGCAGTTCATCCAGAGTGATCATGGGCCTCTTGGCTGCATCTCTGATCAGTCTTCTCCTTGTTTGAGATGAAAGTTTGGAGGGACGGCCGGGTCTTGGTAGATTTGCAGTGGTCTGATACTCCTTCCATTTCAATATAATTGCTTGCACAGTGCTCTTTGAGATGTTTAAAGCTTGGGAAATCTTTTTGTATCCAAATCCGGCTTTAAACTTCCCCACAACAGTATCTCGGACCTGCCTGGTGTGTTCCTTTGTCTTCATGGTTCTCTCTGCGCTTTAAACAGAACCCTGAGACTATCAAAGAGCAGGTGCATTTATACGGAGACTTGATTACACACAGGTGCATTCTATTTATCATCATCAGTCATTTAGGACAACATTGGATCATTCAAAGATCCTCACTGAACTTCTGGAGTGAGTTTGCTGCACTGAAAGTAAAGGTGCCGAATAATATTGCACGCCCCACTTTTCAGTTTATTTTTAAAAAAGTTTAAATTATCCAATACATTTTGTTCCACTTCACGATTGTGTCCCACTTGTTGTTGATTCATGACAAAAAATAAAAATTTTATATCTTTATGTTTGAAGCCTGAAATGTGGCGAAATGTTGAAAGGTTCAAGGGGGGCAAATACTTTCGCAAGGCACTGTAGATAGATATACAAAGGGCGGTCAGTAAATTAAAACACTGTAAAACAAACTCCTGATGATCATTCTGTTTGTCCAGGTCTTGGAGGACGGGGAGGTGGATTGTCCTGAAGACTATCTGTCTGAGGTCAGAGTCACAGATTCTAACATGTTGTTTATGAACTCGTCTTGAATCTCACTGTTTTCTCTTCAGCCGGAAGCCCGGACGGTGGAGCCTGGTGACATCCATGTGACGTCCAGTGAGAACCTGAGAGAAACCCCAGAACCTGAAATGGAGTTTACCCCAGATCAGAAGTTTGCTCTGCCGTATCTACAGAGGATTAGTCCTGCGGGGTTCATGTGGGCCAAACTCAGGGGCTCAGAGGAGAATTGTGTCCAGGTGAGACCTCACCAGAAGTCCGGCTACAGTCTGAACTCCTCTGTCTCAGCTGTTCCACTCAATGAGTTTAGTAAGCAGGATATAGAGTACAGTATGTTCCCAAACGGGCCTTTTGGGGGCGTTCAGACCGCCAACGCTCGAACGCAGTTTCCACGCGCACTGAATGCACATTCTCTAAATTTCAGACAATAGGGGTGTTCAGACCAGAAGTCCTAGCCTGCAGTGGCACCCGGCTCGAAGTGGGGGAAGGGCTTTGATGCTAACGGAGTTAAGCTTGCGGCTTTTTGTGTAAAGTTCTTTTCCAATAATGCAGTTTTGCAGCGTCTCTGTGTCCGAGACCTTCCAGAGACTTTATATAACAGTAGTATGTGTTCACGGAGGCGCGCTATTCATTTTCATTGTATTATCAAAGGATACTTCCGCATCAGGGACTAGGCTAGCAGCACTAGTTTCAAAATGAGAACTCGGGCTGGAGGCATATGTTCACAAGCACTGTGTCCCCCATTGTCAATCCTGGTTTCGTTCTGGTTTAGCTCCTGTTTTGAGTATTTTCAGTCTACTCACGAGACCTCTAATGTCCCCGTGCCCACTTTGCGGCTCTCTGATTGGTCGCTGCACGAGCGTCTCGAGAAAAAAGTTCAGCAATGTTTATCTCCTGCATGCGTCAATTTTCCGCCCCTGCCGTGCGTGCCGAGACGCAGATGCAGTTCCATGCTTGAACGCGCGTCACCATTGACTTTGCATTGAAAGTCGCCGCAAAGCATGATCCGGTCTGAACGCCCCATAACCCCTCTGGTCTTGGGCTGGGAAGAGGAAATAATTTGACAATCCGATATTATTGTAATTTCTTTGCGATGTCCCTCATATTATTCAAAAAAATTACAAATTTGGAGGAAAATAAGACTCAACTCTTCTGCGACATCCCGCTTTCTCTCTCTCCCTCTTTCCCTGTCTCTCTTTTCCTCCCACTCTCTCTCTCTCTCTTTCTCTCCCTCTCTCCAAGGTAAACGGAAAGGCGTATCCTCAAGCAAAGGTGCAGCTGGGTCGAATGGGAGCGCTACATCCTGCAAACCGATTGGCTGCTTACCTGACAGGGCGAGTGGGCGGGGCCTACAGACCTGTCAGCACGCCCTCCCCGGTGACCTGCGCTTTACCCGGGATCTCCACCCTCAGTGCATCCACCAAGACCTCCACAGTGACATCAACCAGGACCAGCCCCAAGAGCGGATCTAGCTTACCCAGTCCCACTCCTACCCAGACCCCGGCCGAATCCTCCCAGACCTCGGCCGGTCCTGTTGGGGTCAACATCTGGCCAAGACCTGATGTCTCTAGCCAAACTCCTCTCTGCGGTGGAGAGACGAGTGACGAGAACAAACCTCTTCCTGCAGGTAAAACAGCTGTGATGCTAAATCGTGAAACTCAAATCAAATAATTGATTCAGATCACTAGACGGCTTTCTACCATCTACATCTAAAGAACATTGTTAGAATTAAAGGCAGTGTCTAAAGCAGACTTGTTAGTAGGTTGAACTATTGTAACGGCTGCTCACTGCTGTTTCAGTGTCCAAGGCTCCTCTGTTGGTGGAGATCCAAGTCCCGGGTCCAAACAACACGCCTCTGCAGCAGCTGGTCCCTGTCAGAGCAGCGCCGACCCCGACCCTGCCCTCCTTCTCTTTGCCCATGTCTGTCCTCACTCCTCTTCCCAAAGACTTGAGGACCAGACTCACCCCAGCCCCTGTCCCCAATAATCTGACGACCAGACTCACCCCGGCCCCTGTCGCTGAAGACCTGAAGACCATAGTCTCCCCAGCCCCTGTCCTTAACCTTGTCCCAGTTGCACCTGTCTCTCAGACTCAGAAGCTCATCTCCCAGGTGAGCATTTGGTGTCACATGTTTTTAGACAGAGGGCCGTCTGTATTTGTTAGTTGTAGATTGGGAACGTTTTTCTCATTTAACACGATGGGATCGATGCAAGCCAGTGGGTTTGGGTCAAGTCTAATTAGTGCGATTCTACTCTGGTCAGGCCCAGGTATCTGCAATATCTTTCTGTCTCTCTCTCCATCTCTTGCTCTCTCTCTCTCTGTCTCTCTTTCTCCCTCTCTTTGTCGCCTATCTCGATATACAATATATAACAATATTTTTATATGGTAAATAGTCTGGGGTTATTTATCAGTTCAAGTAGGAAAAAGGGTTTTCTGTCGCACGTTTCCTGTTTTTGAAGAAGATAAACATTCCCTTTTCTTCATTAAAAAATAAACCTGCTCATTTAATGTGCATATAGGAACAAAGTGCTACTGCAACATTTTAGATTAAAAAAAAAACTCTAACATTAATAGTAAGTAACTTAATTCAATTCAGTTGCCCCCTCCGGAGTGTACAGTCGCAGGAGAAACAGTTACAGACTGCAGTTTTCTATGAAACCACCCTCCTTCAACAGAAAACTTGTTTCAATGGCTTCAGGGGACACGGCCCGTGTCTTAGTCATTGTACCAGAGAGCGAGTCTCAGCTGAGCTTCTACTGGCATTTTCTTCTGGTTCCAAAGAAGGGCTCTCTGTCATTACGCCCCATTCTAGATTTCTGTGTTTTCAACACACATTTACGGAAATTCAGATTCAGAATGTTGACGCAGTGGGGACAAAAATGTGGGACAAATAAAGGATCTCTTAATCTTAATCAAAGTATTGTGTTGTTCAACACGCAAAGAGAATTGGTTCACCACAATTGATCTTGCGGATGCATATTTACACATCGAGGTGCAACAAGTGCAGAGGGACTTCCTCTGCTTTGCTCACGGGAGGACAGCGTATGAGTACCAGTACCATCCGTTCTTTCTCTCCTTAGCTCGAGTTCACGGGACACTGCAGTGAGAGAGACTGTTACATTACTCAATCACTTAACCAACCTGGGTAGAGAATAAACCGTGTGAAGAGCCAGTTGGAACCCAGGCAACAGACCCTGGCTCTGTTTTGGAGCCAAGTGCTTCTGGAACTGTTTGAGGTCACCGTGTGGAACCTGGTCCTTTGGTTCCGGAGCATCATTTGCAATAAGGGGGTTGTGCATATCTCCCATAGTGAAACTGAACAAAGTTTATCCATTTTCTTCCCCTTAATCCATTTCTTGGTCAGGAGGTGGCAGTCAGAGCTGCACCTGCCCCTCACTGATGGGTGCTCTAGTCTGAGGTGCCTTGATTTTTCAGCGGGGGCTTCAGGCAAAGTGGGGTTAAGTGGGTTGCCCAAGTACACGACAGCAGACATCAGTGGGAGTCGTGAATTAGATCTAGTGGTGGGCTTGAACTCACGACTTTCAGGCTCAAAGGCCAATGCTCTACCAACTGAGCCACTGTCGCCCCTAGAAAAATAACTCACGGTTACTTAACATAACCTCGGATCTTTGATTGCAGAGAGAGGTGATTCACCTTCATTGTCCTCTTTGCGAAGCGGTCAGAAAACGGTTTTGAATTATCCCAAAAGAAAGAGGTTGACTGTACCAGGATAGTTGGTGCCATTGGAACTTCCATGGATGGTTAGACCATAGTGAAACGCCTCACTCTGTTTTCAAAGAATCGGGGTTATGTTAAGTATCTTTAAGTTTGCTAATGGCCTCTTTACGAATGGCATCCATTCTTTATGTCTGTAATTACTCTGACGCTAAGCTGTGTTTGTGTTGTATTTAGGCCCAGCCCCCTCAGCCCTCCCCCCTTCAGCCCTTGCAGCTCATGGGCGGTCCGACCTCCAGCTCTGGGGTGCGTTTGTTTCGCACACCTGACGGACGCCTGATGCAGCTGATCCCTCTCCCTGCAAAACCCAAGAGCGTGTCGTCCAGCGCCACGCCCACTGTCATCAAGAACAACAAGCAGATGATCGTGTACCGACGAACCAAGAACAAGAATGGAGAGGTTACACGTGAGTCACACACACCTGCACTGACAAAGAGAACCAAGTGTGACGTCTGTAACATGGATCTGACCAGACAATTATGGACAGAGGACTGTTTACGCTCTCCACTCAACGTTATGGGGGACTTCCTGTTGTGGAGCTGGCCTCTCCCTCAGGAAAACTGAAACCAGTGGCGGCACGGTGGCTGAGTGGATAGCACTCTCGCCTCTCAGCAAGAAGGTCCTGGGTTCGAATCCCGGCCGGACCAGGGCCTTTCTGAGTGGAGTTTGCATGTTCTCCCCATGTCTGCGTAGGTTTCCTCCGGGTACTCCGGTTTCCCCTACCACTAAAAATATGTCCAATAGTTCTGGCATGTGCCTCCTGTTCTGGCCCCGCTCCCATCTCTGTGTGGAGTGAAAGACAAGTGCCCAAAAATTAACAATTGTAAACCGCTTTGAGACTCAGATCTGCAGTGAAAAGGCGGTATATAAATAAAAACTTACTTACTTACTTACTAATGGTACTCTGTGTAATTTTTACAGTTACCCCAAATTAAAAAAACATGTTAACCAATAACAAATGTGACCTTTTAAAAAATATTTTCACCTCCAGTGTTTTTTATCTGTTGTCATAAGCTTAGAATTGTAATTATCAATGTCCATGATAGCTGAGGACTCGCCATGTCTATGTGCCGTCTTGATATACATAAAAGGATGCAAGGATCGCGTTTTTGTTTCACTGGTGCTACTGATATTGCTTCCATCGTGCGCTGACTAGTTCGAAGTAGAAACCATGGAAGACCACAGTTGCGTAAAAGAACTACCAACATTTTAGAAAAATATTTATGCAAAAATCTAGAAACCAGCGTCATAACTGCAACGTGTTGTAAACCACATGCACCGAAAGGCAGAGTTAAAGCACATTGTGTAGTGTAGTGAACAATATGTAACTTTTTTTCACACACCAACAGTATTGAGAACGAAGCAGAATCTACAACACAAGTCTCAGGATGACTCGCTCTGAGTCCAACTACTACATTACAAGTTTCAACAAAACTTCCCATTCCTTCAGGTGTCTCTTCTCTTCTCACTGCGTTTGTAAAACTATGTATAATAATAATAGATCCATGGTAAAGCACCTCTGCAGCGCGTGCCGCTTCACAACGCGGACTTTGTTTACATGTCCACCTCCGCGCACGTGTGTGAGGCACATTTGTGACACGGTTGTGTATGGAGAGATCCGGTCATGTATCAATCTGAAGAATTCTCTCCTTAGTGGTCTGGTGAATTACCAGGTGTTGGGGATCACTATCAAACATGACATATGGTCCTTGAAGGCCTCTGTAGTGTTGGTGGTAGAAGGAGACTTGCAATACATGATCTCAACGCTAGATGGGAGTAGAAACTACAGTGTGCCTTTAAACTGCCTCTGTACTGGACCATAGACTGTATATATTAACGGACAGAGTCACGCCTATCTCCGCCGTTCATAGGAGTGGGCCATGAAAAGTGCTTTCATGGAGCAATCCAAGATGGCCGCGAGTGGTCTCGCCCACAAGAAAATTGTGAAAAAACGCATCTGCGCATGCGTCAGCCGGCGCAGCTCCATTCATTTGAACGAGAGACTTCAAAAATTCACTGCGAGTAAACTAGAGTGGACCAAAAAAATTCACCCCCCTCAGCATTGACACACATGTGGAACGGAGCTTTGGGCCAAGAGCCAACTTTTGGTCCATCCTGTAAAGACGTTTTTGAGAGGTCTGCTAACGCTATATGTTAGCATTGGCTAATTCTTCTTCTGGGTCCACCCCCATCGGCCCGGGGTGGTATTGCAAGCATGTCAGCGCACGTCATTTTGGCCACTTTTGAGCTGGGACCCTCCCCCACTGTACTGGACCTGCTGCTTTGGTGTATGTGATGTGACAATCTGCAAATGTTTATTTATTCATCATTTTTATTTATTTTTACATCAAATTCAAACAGATGAGGAATAAAAGAAAGTTTGTATGTTAGCTTTGGGCCATGAATCGTGTTTTGGATCGAGCTCTATAGCAGTTTATGACTCATGGAAGTCTCTGTCGAGCTCTGTTCCCTCTGTTTGAACTGCAGACGAGGAGCCAGACACACATGACACTTACGTAGAGCCATGATTGGTCACTGATCTTACTGACATGAACTGGATTCTTGTACTATAGAATAGAGAGAAGAACAAACTAGTTTGGCCCCTGGTAAAACCATGTTCCAGCTTCTTCTTTCTGATATCGTTGGCTGCAGGACGTCTCTTTTCTCTTTTTCTGGTTGATCTCTTTTTCTCTCTCTGGTCTCTTTTCTCTTTAATCTCTCTTTCTCTCTGGTCTTTCTCTGGTCTCTGTCCTTTCTCTGATTTATTTTTTCTCTGGTCTCTCCCTTTCTCTCTGGTCTCTCTTTTCTCTCTGTTCTCTTTTCTCTCTCTGGGGTTTCTCTGGCCTCTCTCTGGTCTCTCTATTTTCTCTTTTCTCTCTGATCTCTCATTTTTTCTTTTTGATATATCTTTCTCTCTGGTCTCTCTCTTTTCTCTTTGCTTTCTTTTGTCTCTGGTATCTTTCTCTCTCTCTGGTCTCTTATCAGTCTGAACAAAGCACTGTAATGATCTTCACTTGTTTTGAACTTGTCTCGTTCACACTGGGGACACTTGCACATGTATTTCAATGTGGTTTTACTGCAAATAAACTTGATCTAAATCTGGTGTAGTCTCTAACTTTGGTTCCTCTCTGATGCAGTAGTCCCTCTCACCAGCCAGGCCCCAGTGATCCCCTTCCCCACCCAGTCCTCACACCCTGTCATTGCCCCCACCTCCACTGGTATGTCTGGCCTTCAGAAGTTCACCGTCTCCTCGTCCTCCTCGTCCCCGCTCCTGAGCTCCAAGACCGGATACTCCTTCAAAATCCTGCAAGGGAAGAGCACCAAGGAGACGGTGGTGGTGCGCACGTCTGAGCTGGCTCCCAAACCGGACAGAAGGAACGAAGGAGAGAAAGCTATAGCCAAATCTGCGGCAGTGGTGAAGCAGGAGATAAGGCAGGAGGTGGTGGAGCAGGAGAAGCAGGAGCTGGCTGTGGATGTGAGCGACCTAGACCTGGTCTGTGTGGACAATGAGGACGTGGTGGTGGTGGACTCGAGCAGCGAGGAGACTGAGAACTCGTCAGACTACAGCAGCGAAGACGAGATGCTGACGGGAGCCCAGGGGAACATGAAGATAGAGGAGCTGGGACGAAAGGTGATAGAACGTCCACTTTTAACCCATGGGTCCACTGCACCCGTTTTTCTCATTACATTTGATACAAAGAACATGTATTCGTCCCTCAGTGGAAATGTCCTCGTTGCAGAATAGGAGATATAAGAGGCTCAAATGATACACACATCAGTCTTTCAATCAATCAATCTTTATTTGTAGCACTTTTAAAACAGCCTGAGCTTAAAGTGCCGTACAAGTGTAAAAAACGGCAACAACAAAAATTATATAAAAAGTGCCTCTTAAGCAAGGATTAAAAGAACTATTATTAAGATTATAGATGATGAAATAAGAAACTCTGGTGCTTTAATTGACTTGGGACTTGGGGATTTTCCACTGCAAAACATGGAGAAAATGTAGTTTTGATCAAGTATCTTCAGTTTTTTAAATACACTATGATTATTTATTTGAATGCCCTGTGTTGTTGCCTTGTGAATGAACTGGGCTGTACAAAAACACTTGCATTGACCTTGCATGACGGAAACATAAAAATCACACACAAATAATCACAGCACATTAGAAAGAGTGAAGACACAATCCTTCAGTTGTATGGAAAGCTAAACTGAAGTGTTTTTTTAACCTGGTTTGGAATATTGTCAGAGAAGAAGCCTGTCTCACATTTTCAAGAAGATTTTCTATCTGAAACGCTGCCTCCCCATGTTTAGTCCTGACTTTGGGCACCAGCAGGAGGCTAGTCCCTGTGCTCCTCAGAGTTCATATGGCACTAACATGTCAATTTTGTGCGAGGCCATGGAGAGACTTGTAACAAGCAGAGCTGTGTGCAGTACAGAGACCTGAGAACTGGGCTAATGTGATGGTAGTTATCATCGTAATAATTCAACTTTTTTATTTTCAGAAACACAATTTTCATGAGAGAATTCGACGACAGAAGCTCCTCAAACTCTTCCACAACCTCCGGAAAGAAGTCAGACTGAACCAAGAGCATCCAGGGTCCAGGCACTCCACCCTCATCAAGGTCAGTCTCTGCTTCGGTCTCTGCTTCGGTCTCTGCTTCGGTCTCTGCTTCGGTCTCTGCTTCGGTCTCTGCTTCGGTCTCTGCTTCGGTCTCTGCTTCGGTCTCTGCTTCAGTCTGTCTCTGCTTCAGACTCTGCTTCAGTCTCTGTTTTCTCCTCAGGCTCAGAGGTTGATTGAGGAGCTGAAGTCCAGAGAGGAGCATTTGAAGAACCTGAAGCTCTCGCTGAGGATCAACAGAGACAAACTTCTGAACCAACTGGTGCCGCACTCTGGTGAGACATAGACACACAACTACAGCAACACACTGCCTCTGATACAACACCAAACATACCCCAGAAGGTCAGCGGATTGGCCTTAGACTCTGGCTCATGTTCACTTTCTCATGAAACATCTCAGTAACTGCAGCTTCAGGCTTCTCATGTGTGGATGTTGTAAGACTGTCCGTAGATGTGTTGTGACTAGGGATGTAAAAAGCTATGAATTTTCATGACCGACCACCGAGCCTCATTAACCACCGGTTAAACGGTCACTGGTTTACATCCCTAGTTGTGACCGCACCCTAAATGCAGATTTGAATAAAAACTGGAGTTTCCTTAAATTGGCATTCCTTCTGCAGCAGCGTTAGCTTGTCCTTGTCGTGTCACTTTGGGTTCTCTGTTCTCAAAGATGATAAAGGGTCCGTGTAAATTCAAGCCATCTAAAAATGGCTTGAATTTTGAGTTTTTGTTCCGATGCAAAAAATGCAAAAACTAAATACTGAATTATGATTTCACGCGGATAGTTTTTGTTTTTTGTTTTGTCACAACTGGAAGTTGGCTGTGCACCATTATTTTCGTCCGGTTGGAAACAGCAGAAAGCAGGCAAGCACACAGAGTGCGCACATGCATAGCCAAAGCAACGGAAAGGGACATTTTACTTGTTTTAAGGATTCTTAGACTCGTTTTGTGGAGCTCAACTGTATTTTCCAGACAGAATCTTGCGCAGCCTTTATAATAGAGGAGAGACATGGATGAACGGTTGTAAATATGTAATTTTATGCTCTTTATACTGCTCTTTTATACTAAATATATTTACAGATCATGTGTGTGTATGAGTTTACTTAAAGTTTAAATAAAAATAAATAAATATTGCTCATTTGTTTTCTTGTACCGGATTAATGTGAACCTTTTAGAGGTTTGAAAAAGATCAACTGTTTGCCACAGCACCTGGAGGTATGTTAAACCTTATGAATACGTATTACCTCCATTTAGTAGACTTCGAAGGGAGACATTACACCCAGACTTATCTTCACATTTAGCTCAATAGGTAAAGATTCCAATCAGCATACATTTGTGAGAGGAAACAAAACAAGTCACAAAATGCTTTAATGGAATGAATGCATTTGAAGAAGGCAAGTTTAGGCAACGTGTATATTGGCTTCCAACTGAAACAGAACTCTGTACAACTTGAGCGCAACCTATAGGACCTGACTTTAGCTGTACCGTTGGGTAACATTTTTAAAACATTAACCAAATTAAATCTAACAACGAGGAGTGTCAAACTCATTCCTAAAGGGCCGCTGTGGCTGCAGGTTTTCTATCGGACCATGCAGGTGCAGAGCAGCCTCCGCCTATTTCCTCAGATTTTCAGGTTAAGACTGAACTCGCCTAAAAAATGAAAGATCATAGAAAACCCATGGATGACGAAAGGATTATTAAACGCATGTAAAAAAAAGAATTATCTTTACAAAAACTTTGTTAAAAAACGAACAAAAGAAGCTGAAGAGAAATATAAAAATAAACTCACTGATATAATTAGAAACTGCAAAAAGAATTATTATAATAACTTGCTAGAAATTAATAAAAACAATATTAAAGGGTTATGGAATATATTAAATAAAATAATTAGAAATAAGCCCAGAATGATAAACCATCCACAATATTTTAAAGACAAGGATAAAACCATAGTTAATATGAATGAAGTAGTTGAAACGTTTAATAAATTCTTTGTTGATGTTGGTCCAAACCTGGCTGCTAACATCACAAATGTTGAGAAAGACTCCTGCTATCAAATAGAAACCAACCCAAGTTCACTGTTTCTGAAACCTGTAGAAGAAAATGAGTTAATAAATATAGTGAGAGGGTTTAAAAACAAAACATCGACGGACTACTGCGATTTGGACATGAGGACCTTAAAGAGTGTTTTTGCGGGTATTTCAAAGCCATTTAAACACATATGTAATTTATCACAACAAACTGGACAATTTCCCCAACACATGAAAGTAGCCAAAGTAATTCCCCTGCTTAAATCTGGAGACAAACATATATTTACAAACTATAGGCCTGTTTCACTTCTACCACAACTCTCCAAAATCTTAGAAAACATTTTCAATTCCAGACTTGACAGCTTCATCGAAAAAAATAATACTCTGTGACAATCAGTTTGGCTTTAGAAAAAATCACTCAACTTCACATGCACTGTTTGACATAACTGAAGAAATTACTAACGCTATAGACAATAAGAAAAACGCAATTGGACTATTTTTTGACCTCAGTAAAGCATTTGACACCATAAACCATGAACTATTAATTAAGAAGCTAGAACGCTATGGGATCAGGGGGGTGGCATTAGAATGGGTCAACAGTTATCTAAAAAACAGGAAGCAATATGTGAAACTGGGTGATTTTCAATCAAGCTGTTTAGAAATTGTGTGTGGTTTACCTCAGGGTTCCATTCTTGGTCCAAAACTGTTTAATCTGTACATATATGATATTTTTAAAACATCTAAAATACTGAAATTTATCTTGTTTGCCGATGACACGAATATTGTTGCAACCGGTGATAATTTACATAAGCTATTTCAAACTGTTAATCTGGAACTCAAAAAAGTAAGTTATTGGTTCAAACAAAACAAGTTATCTCTAAATTTAAGTAAAAGTAAAATCATGATATTTGGCAAAGGTAATTCCAACACTCAGGAGATGATTCAGATAGAGGGTATTGTCTTAGAACAGGTGCAAGAAATCAAATTTCTTGGAGTTATAATAGACAACAGGCTAACTTGGAAACAACACATTAAATACATATCCACTAAAATATCAAAAAGTATCTCCGTAATAGCAAAAGCAAAGCAGTTTTTAAATTTCAAAGTTCTACATACTTCATACTGTTCTCTGATTCTGCCATATCTGAATTACTGCTCTGTGATCTGGGGAAACACTTACAAAAACACAGTCAAACCGTTAGTGATGCTGCAAAAAAGAGCCATTCGAATCATTCATAAAGTGGGTGTTCGAGATCATACAAACGCGTTATTTATAAATTCAAAGATTATGAAGTTTTATGATCTTATTGAGTTCCAGACTGTACAGTTGATATATATAAAGCAAGATATAAACATTTACCAAAACAAATACAGAAAAGGTTTCAAGAGCGAACTAGTTGTTACGAACTACGAGAAGAATTGAACTTGATGATACAGAAACACAGCTCAACACTGAAAAGTTTCAGCCCCACAGTTAATGGGGTTCAACTGTGGAATAATTTGGAGCGGGAGATGAAACATAGTCCAAACATTAATGTGTTCAAATTTAATTTAAATTTAAATACAAACAAAAGACTTTCGATAAATATAAAGAGGAGGAAATTATATGTCACTAGGGGGCGCAATCGAGCTAAAATAAATTGGTGTTTGTTTTTGTTTTGTTTTGTTTTTTTATTTCTATTTTATCAACTTCGTTTTGTTGCTTATTATAGTCATTATGATCTTTATTGACCTTGAAGAGTGATGTTGCTTTAAACAGTTGCCATTATTTGCCGTTAATGTTGCTGTTATCGTCTGTTCTTTCTTGTTTATTTTTTACATTTGCATAGTTGCTGTTCTATGTAAAGTGTGTATATTTTTATGTAGTGTTTTGGGGGTGGGCACCAATAATCTTTTGCTTCGGCCCACTCCTTTTGAGCAGTACTTGTCTGCTCAAATAAACAAATAAATAAATAAATATATATATATGAGTACTTGGATGGGAGACCGCCTGCAAGCTTTGACTCTCTGCATTGTCCCTGTCAAATAAATGCATAAATAATATTGAAATCCAAAGCACATAATACATTGTATAGCTTTCAAAACACAAATCAGAGAATAACACTTTAAAGTGGTTCTCACCCCCGCTCCTCGGAGCTTACGTTACTCATATTTCCTGTTCAAATCTTCCTCTAAATGGGCGTAGCCTGGAGGACTGAAGGGGGCGTGAACGAGACTGGGCCGTTTACATTGCTCTGGGCGGGGGGCTGCTGACGTCAGGTCCAACTTGCAGACGTCAGGTCCAACTTCTGTGCCAGTGTTGGCGCCAGATTCAAAATTCAAATGTAGTAATACAGGTCGCCAGCAGATGGCGCCTCACAGACGGGTTTAGGCAGAAAGTCTAACTTTCAACTAATTTGCACCAAAGTGACAAGATTATGACCAGGATATGTAGACAACACTATTGGACACTCATTTATACCGTTTATCAGCAAAAAAAAGTGGATTTGAGGGTGAGTTGTCCTTTAAGCACAAGCACAATGATAAAAACACAGAACCATTGGTCCATAAGGAGTAGACACAAATGTCATACATGTTGTAGAATGTTAAAGTGTCCTGGATCATCACAGTCCTTTTTGTTAGACACCGACTGTCCAATAGACCCTCCTGCATAAAAAGAAAAACTCTAAAACCCAGTGGGAGAAAAGTGAGAAACCTCTGGGAGACCAGATATTGAGAAAGGGATCCGCTCCACATGGACGGACGGGCTATAGATCCAGGACTTAAACTACAGAATGAGGACCAAGGCCCCGCGGAGCAGGACTCGGGCTGCAGAACGAGGACTGAGGCAGCTCCCAGGCAGGGAGTGGGTTGCAGCCTACGAGCCGGGGAGGACAGTCCGCAGGTGCAAATGGCGCTCTAATCATTTTGCCCCTGGAGCTCGGGCCTGGGGGCGAGCTCAACAACAGCGCGAGTTGTTGTCGTGTAGTTGAGTTGAGTTGAGTGCAGCTTGCAGTTTCCGTCTCTCACCACTCATCATTTCCGGTAGCATATCAAACAAAATAATGGACTAATGATCGACTAATGATCGAAGGGTACACGGAATCCGTGTACCCTTCGAAGCGGGGCTTCCTTCCCCCCGGGAATGAGCGCTCAGGCCCGGGTCTGAGCGGGAGGACTCCCCGTCCCGGTGATAGCCCAGAACCGGAGGAGTGCGTGGGTGAAAACTCCGTGTCTCTAGCCCTTATGGTTCGTTTTCTACGAGCCCTGAAAGCCAAGGTTCTCCTCCTCCAAAATGAGCGCTCATGGGCGGATGGGAGGCGTGCGGTCCCCCGGTGGTTTCCAAGGGCCATAACTTTCTGGTCCTTTATCCCCCGCGCGTCAAATTCACACCGCGGGTACCCCGGGACCATGGGAGTCCCTGGGTCCCACCCCCGCGTCTGTAGCCCCCCTGGCTCGGCTTTGAGGAGCCCCGAACGCGGAGCTTCCTTCCGCGAGGTCTCTTCTCTCTTCCGGTGTCGCAAATAATAATAAAACGAAATAATAGTAATGCCATAATTCTTTTGAGAATTTTAAACAACTAGAGCCAAAACAAACACATTGATATTGAAGCATAAAGGATTTATTGAAGGGTACACGGATTACAGACCATAAAGCTATTTATTATATGACTTGGATCGTACGCACGCTCTGATTGGCTGATTTGCGGTCTGATATTTTCCCATCTCGGACCGTTACCATGACAATTGGTCCGCAGCGCGTATCACATTTGATATCTTTCCTCGGTAAAAATTTAATTATGAACAACAACTGGGAGCATTCTCCTGTCAATTCTATTATCCGGACAAGTTTCGAGAACAGATACAGACCAGAAAGGTAGAAATACGATTAGGAAAACCAAGTCGGACATGAACATACTTCACAAATATCTAAAAAGCATTGGTAAAGACACAGAAGAGATTGAGAACTTACCAGTGGGCGAATTCAATCATCTGATAAGCAAGTTCTCCATGTTTGACAATTTGGTTCCATGTGGTTTTGCTAGTTGAAACCCATCGATATTTGCACAATTTAAAAATAGTGATATAATAAAACATTTATTAACCACGCTTGCTTGGTCTGTACAGAGAGATATCAGACCTTGCTACGGCTCGGTCTGTACAAAAAGGCAGCGGTCTGATATTTCTTTGAACAGACCTCGTTTTATAAGCGGTTAATATAAAGCTAAAGACCTTAGAGAAGCTATACCCGATTTTTTTTCTAAGTAGTTGATAAAAATGCTTATTACTACATACAAGTTGTATTATAATCCGTAATTTAATTGAAAACTTGAGGCAATTGATTCAGCTGTGTAAGAATTACAAGCAGTGAAAAGTGCTGAGTAGAGTCTGAGCGGGCCGCTCGTTCTCTCTCAGAACGAGCAGCAAACAGCCTGCGTCCTCTAGCCTCTACAGCGCTGCTAAAAACTAGGGCTTCGGCTTCGAAATTCGAATATAATTCTAAAATAAATAAAAAAATATATATATATATTCGAACACATATTAGACAGCCCTTACAATTCGAAATGTATTCAATAACTGCAAATAAAATAGTTAGCTCCCAAAGGTCCCACCGGGACGTGCTAGGCAGGTAAGAGCTAAGCTAGCTAGCTCCCTGGAACTACAGGTTAATAGTTACTTCCGGGTTTTTCGCGATAGCTTTTTGTCACATTAAAATAGTAATTTGGTCATGAAAACGATAACATGAAATTCTGAAAAAGTCCGTGCATGTGTGTTAAGGATGTATATACTGTATTGTCCGATTAACATTTAATGGTGTTGATTGATATATATGTAGTTAGTTGTTTATTGAGCGTGGCTAGCTCGGCTAGCTCCGCTAGCTTCTCTCGTTGTACTTGCGGAGTAATGGCAGTATTTTACACACCTGAATTACAAACAGAGATTGCATTGTCAAAGGGCAGCGGTCATTATTGATTTGAGAGTTCTGTTATCAAGAAAAATGACCGGTAGAATTACATCCAAGTCAATGCTGCTGTGAGGAGCTGAATAATAAATTATAATTAAATACTCAAATATATTCTAATGTTTTAATGAATACATTTGGATGCGAAACTAGCAGTATTCTTTTACCTATATATTGTGTTAGCAGTGCGTTGCTTTAGTACCATTTCATCTGTTGTTGTACAGCTTACAAGAAGTTGTGCTAGTGCTAATGTTAGCATACATATCAGATCGCAAATTGAGCTTGATGGCTCTGTGTTATGAGAGCGTAGGGGAAATGAGAAGCCATTGAGCGTGTTGGGGGGCGGTGCTAAACATTCAAACCTTGCAGAAACGGGTATAGCGCCTTTAAAGCTGTTATCTCTATTTATTATAAACATTATTATATTTTATAATCTTTAATACATTTACAAAACATTAAAACCTTACAAAGATTGAATTGAAAAGAAACCCGTTACATTTCCATGGTCACATGACCGTTGGAATTAAATGCCCCCTCCCACCCCAGAGTCTAATTATGAGGAAAGTTTTCAAACAGTTCATCCCTGAGCCTCACCCTGAGGTGCTCCTTGAATTCCCCCAAAGTTTCACTAGAGACACAGTCAGAGTCCAGCATGTTCCACATTCTGGTGGCCAGAGTGAGACACAATCTCTGCATGATATGGGCGCTGGGCAGTGTCCCGTCCGGAAAAGCACAGCTGACCCAGCGCACATGGTATGGCAGGACCCTTTGTGTGGGTCGGTATGGTCCCAGCGCCGCAGGCGAGAGTCCATGGAACAGTTTAAAACCAAAACATGCAAGAGCAAAGTTCCGCCTTGTTTGCAAGGTTGTTAGTCCGAGCAATTGTATTGCTCCTGTGGGCTCACCACCTGCAGGAGGATCAGTGAGGGGCTGGTGCTCTGTGACTGGGTGCAGCTCTGACTGCCACCCCCCGACCCAGAAAGGGATGGATGGATGGATTATGGTATTATTCACTTACGTGACCCCTCTGTGTACGCAGACAATCCGGAGGTTCAGACCGTGATCGGAGACCACCGCCGGAGGAAAGACTCCATGGTTCCTCGAGATGATGACATCATCGAGGTCGTTGACCTGCCCAAGGGGGAGGAGCCGCAGGCTGTGTAAGGGCTATTTGACCAATAAGGAGAGTGATGCGGTGACCGGACTGGGTTCATGTCACCGGACCTGAACCCAATCCAGATGGTTTTGGGGTGAAAGGGCCAACAAGTGCTAAGCATCTCTGGGAACTTCAAGACTGTTGGAAGACCATTTCAGGTCACTACCTCTTGAAGCTCATCAAGAGAATGCCAAGAGTGTGTGAAGCAGTAATCGGAGCAAAAGGTGCGACTTTGAAGAACAGAGACTTTAAGACATATTTTCAGTTGTTTCATACTTTTTTTTTTTTTCGTAAGTACATAATTCCACATGAGTTAATTCATAGTTTTGATGCCTTTAGTGTGAATCTACAATTTTCATAAACATGAAAATTAAAAAAAATGAGGTGTGTCCAAACTTTTGGTTTGTACTGTATATGTTCTGAATGCGCCTCTGCAACCAATCACAAAGCTCTCTGTGCTGAACAGGGTTCAGTGGCATCACATCACTGTCCAGATATGAAATGAATATTTGAATAATTCTTTGTTGTTTTAAGTTGTGTAACAAACTGTCCACAGTCTGTCTGAGGAGGAGGAACACATTTCGCAAGAACAACTTCCATCGACCAATCCCGCGACAGTAAAGACTCTGACATCACTTCCCGCTAAAGTCCCAAACCCCATGACATCTCCTGTTAAAACAATGACATCATCGCCTGTCAAAGCCACCACACCGTCTCCCTTCTCCTTCATTGTTGCCCAGAATGCACTGCGGCAGAAGACCGTTCCAAACATCTTGTCACGAAGCAAGACCAGTGCAGGCGGTGAGTCCTGGGTCTCTGCTTCAGTCTCTGCTTCAGTCTCTGCCTCAGTCTCTGCCTCAGTCTCTGCCTCAGTCTCTGCCTCAGTCTCTGCCTCAGTCTCTGCCTCAGTCTCTGCCTCAGTCTCTGCCTCAGTCTCTGCCTCAGTCTCTGCCTCAGTCTCTGCCTCAGTCTCTGCCTCTGTGATCTGTGATTGTTGTACAGCTTACAAGAAGTTGTGCTAGTGCTAATGTTAGCATACATGTCAGATCGCAAATTGAGCTACAGTAGATGGCTCTGTGTTATGAGAGCGTAGGGGAAATGAGAAGCCATTGAGCGAGTTGGGGGGCGGTGCTAAACATTCAAACCTTGCAGAAACGGGTATAGCGCCTTTAAAGCTGTTATCTCTGTCAGTCTCTGCCTCAGTCTCTGCCTCAGTCTCTGCCTCAGTCTCTGCCTCAGTCTCTGCCTCAGTCTCTGCCTCAGTCTCTGCCTCAGTCTCTGCCTCAGTCTCTGCCTCAGTCTCCACTCAGAGTCTGAGTTTGGACAGAAGGAAACCTGTGATTACCTCAGTTAGCTGTACAGATGCTAACATTAGCTTTTTGTAGTTTACATTCTCAAACCATCGTTCAATGAAAGAACCATTTTGACAAAAACCTGTTGGATTAATGTTAGTTGATGCAAACACACTGATGCAGTCTCTGGTTTCTGTCCTCAGCTCCCCTGCCGCAGGCCGTGCTTCCTCCTGGTTTGGTGGTGAGCTCTTCCTCTGTCTACCAACAGCACATGATCCCAGGGCATGCTCCTCCCCCTCAGTGTCAGGTGCTCACACTGCAGCCGCTGCTCCAGTCTCCAGGTGATTTTCCAACACAGATCAGACTCAAACAGTTCAAACATGGGTAATGCAATGAGTATAAACACACACAGCTATTGGTCCATAAGATCACCAATGTCCATAAATGTGGTTAAACATTTTTGAATGCAATCCTCCTGCATCGACAAGGATCAACTAGAAACTGAGGCTATAGATCCAGGACTGATGCTTTAGTTCCAGGACTGAGACCACCGATCCAGGACTGAGACCGCAGATCCAGGACTGAGACCGTAGATCCAGGACTGAGGCCGTAGATCCAGGACTGAGGCCGTAGATCCAGGACTGAGGCCGTAGATCCAGGACTGAGGCCGTAGATCCAGGACTGAGGCCGTAGATCCAGGACTGAGGCTGTAGATCCAGGACTGAGGCTGTAGATCCAGGACTGAGGCCGTAGATCCAGGACTGAGGCTGTAGATCCAGGACTGAGGCTGTAGATCCAGGACTGAGGCTGTAGATCCAGGACTGAGGCCGTAGATCCAGGACTGAGGCTGTAGATCCAGGACTGAGGCTGTAGATCCAGGACTGAGGCCGTAGATCCAGGACTGAGGCTGTAGATCCAGGACTGAGGCTGTAGATCCAGGACTGAGGCCGTAGATCCAGGACTGAGGCTGTAGATCCAGGACTGAGGCCGTAGATCCAGGACTGAGGCTGTAGATCCAGGACTGAGGCTGTAGATCCAGGACTGAGGCTGTAGATCCAGGACTGAGGCTGTAGATCCAGGACTGAGGCTGTAGATCCAGGACTGAGGCCGTAGATCCAGGACTGAGGCCGTAGATCCAGGACTGAGGCTGTAGATCCAGGACTGAGGCCGTAGATCCAGGACTGAGGCTGTAGATCCAGGACTGAGGCCGTAGATCCAGGACTGAGGCCGTAGATCCAGGACTGAGGCTGTAGATCCAGGACTGAGGCTGTAGATCCAGGACTGAGGCTGTAGATCCAGGACTGAGGCTGTAGATCCAGGACTGAGGCTGTAGATCCAGGACTGAGACTATAGATCCAGGGCTGAGGCTGTAGACTAAAGGGCTGTTTCCTTTTTTAGTAACTGCTTGGCCCTGGTTCGAGCAGGGCCAAGTCAATACCAAAACAATCTGACGTCTGCAAATGTCAATTGTGATTGGTCAGAGGCGCTGTCAATCACTCTTCAGCTGGTCCATCAGCTGTGGCGAAAAACACAACAAGTTGCCTCAAGTTTCCTGCTGAAAACTCTAAAGATGTCCATAGGGAAAACAATTCCTTGGACGCTGGATGAGGCCAACACCTTCCTCAGTTTGAGGAGAACTTGCGCTGAAAAAAATCCAGCGTGTGTTTGACCTACCCGAAACGAGAAAGTGTTTGCAGAGGAAGCCCAAGGAAACAACCAGTCCCAGATGATCCCAGATGATCCAAGATGGCGCCCTATTCAAATGAATGAACTCACCTATATTTGGGCATTGTCTGGTCCTCCTGGTTCTTTGCAGCGGACGAGCTCCATGATGCTTTGCGCTTAATTGTGTGTGGCTCTCATGCACCTGCAGAGGGGCTCGGCCACGCTCTGACCAATCAGAGCTGCTGATCAGAACAGCGGTAGAGCGGAGCCAGAGCGGAAAGGGCAGAGTTTGTGGCAGTAAAGTGTGGCTTTAAAGAAAACCAAAGAATTTAATAAGAAAAAAGTTCAGGATGACAAGGAACACTAAAATCCCCACAAAATACGATCTTTATGAAAGCTGTAGGTCAGCTGAGCTCGAGCTGTTTTAATTTACATTGATTTCTATGGAACTTTTTTCTGGGTAGCCCATGTGAACTTAGTTTGCAGTACCACGGGTGCCCCCTGTGCCCATGAGTGGGACAGCTATAAGTTAGTAATACCCTATCCAGTTATTATTATAGATCTATGGAAACAATCCTTAACTGTCCACTTCCTGTTTGTAGCCATGGCAACGGTGCTGTCCCCCGGAGACCTGTTCGCTTGCAGTGCCCCGCTCCTCCATGTCCCAGGTGAGTGTCCACAGTCCTGGTCCTGACACTAGCCTTAGCTCAGGTACATGTTTGGTCTCCATATCTTTGTGACTTGTTCTGAAACCTTTAACTTCCAGAGGAAATTGTAGTTACCATAGCAATACTGTTTACGTGCAGTAGTTAGCATTTTGCTTCTATATTTCAGTTATTAATCAGCCCTTGATAGCAGTGAGTAGTTTTCACACACTGTTGCTGGTATTTTGGCATTTCCTCCATGCCTATCTTGTTTGAGTAGTGATGATTTGGGGATGTCGCTGGGCAACACAATCTCCCTCCAAAGATTTTCTATGGGGTTGAGATCTTGGGACTGGCCAGGCAACTCCAGGACCTTGAAATGCTTCTTATGAAGCCACTCCTTCATTTCACAGGCATTCAAAATCTCATAATACATGGCCTCATTCATTCTTTCCTTTACACGGATCAGTCCCATTGCAGAAAAACAGTCCACCCCCATGCTTCACAGTAGGTATGGTGTTCTTTTAATGCATCTCTAGCCTGGTCGTACCACACCATAGTACAAATGACATTTTGTACTAAGGGCTGGAGGTGCTCCATTGAGCTTCGTTTACAGGTGGGAGGGTTAACTCCTTTTGCAGATTGAAACGATTGGATCTGAGTTTACCGTGAGTGCGCCCGAGTCTGTTGTTAGCATTTAGCATTTAGCCTAGCCATCTCCTTTGCCGCTAACGGAGCCCGTGGGGAGTAGCGCCACAATTTTTTCCACCGATTGCATTTGCTAAACATTACCCTTGCTCCGGCTTCAATTTCTTGATAGAAACAGACCGGATTACTTTACTATGGCATTTTTGTGTTACTGATGGTAGCCTTTGTTACTTTTGTCCCAGCTTTCTGTGAGTCATTCACTAGGTCCCCCGTGTGGCTACGGGATTCGAATATAGGATCTCTTATCTTATCGTAATGACTGTATGAATGAGTTTTGTCCAATCGCTGTTCAGGGATAAAAGTCTATGTCACTGTTTTTCAGGTGGAAACATGAGCCTGGTGCAGGTGGTCACTCCACAGACACCATCGTTGCTCCCAAAACATAAACTACAGCTCCCATCAACCCCTGCTGCGGTCTCAGCACTGCTCCCTGTCACACAGACTCCTTCCACTGACTCGTCCAAAGACTCTCCCCTTCCAGCTGTCTTCTTCAAAACAGAACCAGGTCAAGAACTCCATCTCCAATCAACCCCTACTGCCGCCTCCATCACACCGACTCCTTCCACTGCTCCTCCCCTCCCCCCTGTTCTCATCAAAGCAGAACCAGGCCAAGAACTACAACTCCCATCAGCCCCTGTTCTCATAAAAACTACAACCGCTGCCAAAGTCCTGCCCCCTGTCACCTCTGCTGCCTCTCAGGACCAATCACAGCCCACTTCCTGCTCTCCCGTCCAATCGGAGTCCTCCTTTTCGTCCCTGCTGAATGAGATTGCCTTTTTGGTCCAGAGTTCTAACGCGCCGTCCCCTAATCAGAGCCCAGGTCCGATGCAGTTAGCCCCGCCCCCACTGGTGAAACTGTCAAATAGCAGCGCAGCAAGCGTAGAGGCAGGAAATGCAAGCTCAGAGGGCGGAGCCTGGAGGCCAATGCCAAAGCTACGGAGGCTCTGATTGGTCTGGTTTTGAAAAGGCACTTTAGATATTCGGCTCCACAGCGCCACCTATAGTTCAGCACGTGATCTACTTAAGACGAGTCTAAACCAGAACCAAATAACACTGTTTTCTGTTTTTTAAAGCTGCTTTCTGTTCTTTGTTCTCCAGGGTTTCTGAAATAACTCTACTGGCTTGTATTTGGTATTACTGCTTTTAGTATCTCTGGCCAATCACTGTCGAACACTTTAATGAATATGTTCCCAAATGTACTCCTTACATCTGTGTTTTGTCCCATTGCTACCGGCTATAAGTTAACATCTTTAGGCTTACAATCAGAGCCTGATGGCTATAAGCTAACGATTAGAGGCCATAAGCTAACAGAAGGGTCTAGCTTTTAGTTATACTGAAGGAAACAGCAGAGCGTGAAAAAGGACAATGGAAGAACACAAAACGAGCAATAAATGTTTAGGTAATGTTAGAATAAGACAAAGGAACAATGTGTCTCTCGGAACATGACACAAGACACTAAAGAGTCAGAAATGATCAAATCCAGACACATTTTCCTCAAATTTAAGCCACTACTACGTCTTTGTTTGGAGATTACATTGTACTACAGTATTTATAATTTCTTCCTATTTTATCCCATGTATAATTTCCATATTTTCTAGTTTCAAGATAGATTATACATTTCTTATGACCACAGACTATACAGATGAATAATGCAAACATGCTAGCACAAACCTAATAAACCTAATATTGACTTCCATGTTCAATATAAAAGTAGCTCAGTAACTGTGTCATACTCACCATTATGAGCTTAACTTTGTGGTTTATTGCTTTGCGATCCTGGTGTTTATATTGTGAAATTGTCTTTGCAAATCCAGATATGAGCCTGGATCAGTCAAACTTTCTTTCAGTCTCAATTCTGCTCTAGTAGCATGTTTTGGACAGACTGGGTTCACTCCTTAGTGCCTCTTTGGTTACTCAGCCGTTGCTACCAACATTAGCATACACATCCCGCTCTCATAGCCTGTTTTAGCTAGCTCTAATTGGCGGTAAAGCTTACACTAGTCCAGTCCTCATACAGTCTATGCATAAACTACACAGAAATGCTCATAGTAATTTATTTGATCACATATTTAGATGAATGGAGTTTTTTTTTACTTTACTGAATATATAATGAGACACGGACGACAGAAACCACTGTAGCAGACAGAAGAATCTTGTTTTCATGTCGGGTTTCTTTCTCTGAACAGTGGGTGGCGCTGCTGAGACTTTGTGAATGTTAAATGCACTTTTTCCGTTAAATCTTGCCTCAGAGAAACCAGTGTTGAACTAACAGGTCACCATGGAAACACTACAGATGTTCATAGTAACATTAAAGTCATAGGAACATTTCAGACTCTGCTTCAATTTTATAGAGCTTTTGTATTTTTTTGTAAAACTTTGTAAATATTGTATAAAGTCTGGTGTAATAAAGGTTTTTTTGACTGAAGTTCATACAAGTACTTTTGTAAGACACTTAAATAGTAACAGTTCTAGTTTCTCCACTTCAGATCCTCAGTATTAGAACTCTGAACATTGTAAAGCGCTTTTTGTGATTGGTCTGTAAAAATGTGGCTGTACGCTAGACACAAACACCATGTTCACCTTCAGGTGAAGTCATGTTTTTAAGATATGTATCTAGAAGCGGTTAGGGTGAGGGGTAGGATGGAGGCGTGTCCAGGTCGAGCTGTGTCAGGTGCATACATTTAATTCAATTCAATTTATTCGTGTATCGTCCTAAATCACAACAGCAGTCGTCTCGGAAAACGTCTCAGAGGTTAGCCGTGCTTCTAAGGTCAGTTCTAAGTGGATAGTTGTGCTTCTTCAGAAAACTATAGCTTTATAAAATCCTCAACTAAATAAATATATAAATCACCAAAACTGTACTGTCTCTTTTGCTTCTTACAACACAGTTCCTGATCTGTCACAGAGCTGGGGTGGTTTTTAGATACATCGACGCTCATATACTGACCTTAAAGAGCGACTAAACACCTGTGCCCAGCCTTACTCCGCCCACATGAACATTTGAAAATGTTCTCTATTAAAATGGGCGTTGCCTGAAGGACCAAGGGACAAGGGGGAGTTAGTGCTGGGCGTGGTCTGGGCTGTGATTGACAGCTCACTAGTCACACGAAAAAAAACAGTTGTCATTGTTGCTTAAAGCAATAGTTTACACACCAGAAAGTCTCATTCCACCCTTGTTTACACACTAAGATAATTGCAGAGGTACACACCTGAACCTTAGTCACTGAATTATCTCAGCAAAAGTGGCTGTAAAATCATGTAATTTAATTTGAATCCACTAGATGTCGCCAGAATACTCCAACCTGCTACTGGGGCGTGTGTGAGAGTTGGATGGGTTTAAATCACTGGCGCAGAGAGACGCACGTCACAAAATGACGTCACACAGTATTACAAGGTCAATGGAGAGGCTAGGAACAAATTCAAATATAGTTCCACTGAAAAGGTTGAGGGCGCCACACAGACGTTTTTAGGCTCAAAAGTGAGATTTAATCTAATTTGCACTACATTAAACATACTTATGCAGTTTATGAGTTAAAAAAAAAGTTGATTTGGTGTTTAGTGGCTCTTTAAAACAAAAGTATTGAGCTACAGTCGTTTTGCTAATTACACATTTCACTGTCTGAAGTTTACCAATATTTGAAAGAGGAAAGATGTTTATTCTTGTTGATTAAACTAAATCCTGACTGGAGTGTTTCTCGTGCCGCAGATAAAACAACGTCATTATAAATACATTTATTACTGTTACAGTTTGGTCACATTCCTCCAGCGTCTCGAGCAGAATATTAGTTACTACATTAGAACAAAGTCACATTCAAACAGGACTAAACCACGGGTCAATGGTTGTTTAGTAAAATTGCACTTTTCATTAAAATCTGAGCTTAAACATCCGTGCTTTAAAAACATCTGAAACGTGTCGCAGTCTGAGGTTTGGAGACACCTGCTGGACACGAGAGGAAGTGCAACAGTCTGAGGAGCATCAGCTATACACAGATCTCTGTCCACAGGGTTGTATCCAGGTGATGTCACACGTTTATGACCGCGTCCTCATCGTCGTGGTCATCCTCTGCGCACGGACTCATGATGTATCTGCAGCACAGAGGACAGTCACAGGGAGGCGTGTGGTTTGGACCCGTGTCAGCAATTTACCACAGGGAGAGACGAGAGAGTGAGAGCAGAGAGAGAGAGACCACCATAGTTTTCTTCTGACTTGAAACAACAGTAACTCATGTTTTACCAGCTGTATATGATGTTGGAGTATACAAACGTGTATGAAAGAGTCCTGTGAGTCACTATTTGACTCTTTGGGCAGAGAGCTGAAAACTAGTTATAGAAGCCACTGTTTTAGAGCCAGGGACTAGAGACATGGATTTTATTACATAGTTCTATTGTTGTGGCTTGAAAGTCAGGTTCCCCAGCTTTAATCTGCTTGCATCTGTACTTAACACACCTGTAGTCTCCTCCGATGGCCAGAGCTGCTCCAGACACAGACATCCAGTCGTGGCTTTGGCTCCAGGTCTGCTGAAACTCTGCCCCCTCCTTCAGAAGCCCCGCCCCCTCTCCCTCCTGCAGAGCCCCCTCCCCTTCAGGCAGGTTCACATACAGCAAAGGGGCAGGGGGGGTCTGGGGGCTGGATTCCAGACTGGACAGCAGAGTCTGCAGCTGAGAGACCAGGTCCGAGAAACTGGGTCTGCACTTAGGGACCGGACTCCAGCAGCTGTGCATCACCTCGTATCTGAAACACAGGTAAAACACAAAGTGTTATTTCAGTATTAAAGTTAAATTTGGATGGTTTTTTCTAACTTGACCAGCCCTAGGTCATAAAGACCCTTTTAGACCATTTTCTTCTTTTAATCATCTGCGGCGGATCATTTTGACCTCTTGTGAAGCACAAGGGATAAAGACTTTACACAGGGTTAGTCAAAAAAATTATGGATATCAAAATTGCAAGACAGATAATCAATGTCAATCTGAAATGGATTCCAGCTAAAATGATCCTTTATTTTATTGAAAAATATGTTTTTTAATACTTTTACAATGTCTCTGCCTCAAACCTGGAAGTGTGACGTCGCAGCGAGAACCAGCTTATTCCAAATCAGTGGGGGCGGGTCCAGGCTCAAAAAGGTCATTCAGCATTTGCTCTGACATGCTCGCAATCTCACTCCCAGCCGGTGGATGTTTACCCAGAAGTAGAATTACCCAGTGCTTTTGTATACCGCCTTCTTTCCTCTCGAAAACGGCTTTACAGAATGGTCCAAAAGTTGGCTCTTGGCCCAACGTTATGGCCCAGATGCGTATCAATGCGGAGGGGAATTGGGGTCTGTAAGTGTGAAATGTGCCATCTAACCGCCAATAAATCAACAACAAAAACAACGGACAGACTGACAGACAAAAATGTAATTGCATTTCTGTCTGTCAATCTTTTTATTACAATCTCAAAAATGCAGTTTTCACCATAGACTGTAAATATTAACAGTTAAACCCATCTCCACTGTTGAAACTATTATGCCATCAGTTTTGGCTTCTTTGGGGCTTATTCAAAATAGCCGCAGGCAGCCCCTCCCACAGGAAAATCTGAAAAAACGCATTTGCGCATACATTAGCCAGCACCAGTCCCATTCATTTAACAAGTGCCTTCTGAGGTCCACAAAGGCTAAACTAGACTGGACCAAAAATATACCCCCCCCTGCTGATGTCTGACCCCAGAGTTGGGGCAATACTGCACTCTACAGGTGTTGACTGATCATTACATGTAATATTGCTGGCTGATTTCTTAATCAAAGGTGCACCAGATGTTAAATCAAGATAAACTCCACTTGTAGTTCGTTATATTTATTTCAGTCAACCATACGCAGGTTCAACATACAACCCGCCTCTCACGGTCTGCATAGAAAAAAAACATGTGCGCTATACAAAGAGCGCTAGAGCCCCCTAGCTGTAAGGCATGGAAGGTGAACATTAAACCAAGAGCTAACAAACTCACTCTTTATAAAAATAAAAAATAAACCTTTTTTTTTAACACAACATGGACATGTTGTAAACAGTATTAACAGAATCGTTTTATAACATTCAGATGGTCACCCAACAGCCCACTGTCCTTCATGAAGAGCCTTTAGCAGCCTAGCTGAAGAGGCAGCCTTTTTTTGTTAGGCAGTCTGCAAGTTGGTCTTTGGTTTCTGACCACACCACCTGTTGAACCATTTTGTTTTGGATCAGTTCTTTTATAGAACTAATTTCCAAGTGTAGTCTCTTTTCAGTCAGTGCGGGTGGTACTCCATACCACCCGCAGGGTAATGGACAAGTAGAACACTTTAACAGAACATTGTTGCAGATGCTAAAAACTCTCACAGACAAAGACAAACTAAACTGGAAAGACTCCTTAAATAAGTTGATCTTTGCTTATAACTGCACCAAAACAGAAGTAACTGGGTTTTCTCCCTTCTACTTATTGTATGGTCGTTCACCAAGATTACCCATTGACATATTGTTTGACTTACCTGTTGAGGCAGGAAGGGGTAGTCAACTTGAATATGTGGACGAATGGCGCAAGGGAATGCAGGAGGCATATAACATTGCAAAGGAAAATGCACAAAAAGCTGCTCAAAGAAACAAAAAGACGTTTGATGCAAAAGTGAGAAGCTCTCTGTTGTGTCCAGGTGATTGAGTGCTGCTGCGCAATATGACACCTCGCGGTGGCTCGGGAAAATTGAGAAATCACTGGGAAGATCACGTCCACATTGTAGTGTGACGGCCCAACTGGGCCCTCTTATTTTGACTGTTCACTGTCCTTGTTTCCTGTCAGGACCGGAGGTTGGGGGCGTCGCCGGGCCCAGGCTCCACCTGTACTCCTCAGCATTAATGGACCACAGCTGGCAGTGTCTTCGCTCTCTGCTGCTCAGACTACCGGCTGCTCCACCTTTTACCTTTGTTTAGTTTAGTTGATTTATCCACATACTGATTCACCTCACATACACTCAACACTGCACACATCACTGATGCATGTTCACGTCATTTTCTTTAATTAAACACTTAAAACCGTCATTGCTTGTATGGTCTCCCCTTGTTGTTGCTACTCTTGAGCCAGAGTTGTAACACGTGGGGGCTCGTGGGCCAAGTTCCTGGGTAAGTTTATTTATTTGCTTGCCCCTAGAAAATTTATGTTTTGGAAATTTGGAAATGTCAAATCTGGTTTGAGGTTAATGGTATATCTAACCATTTTGGGGAGATCACACAAGGTTAGTTTTCATGTTTTGGAGTCGGTTAACTTGTATATTGAGTTTTGTTTTTGGATTGTTTGGTTTTGTGGGGCAGTCGGTGGAGCAAGAGCCGGAGCAAAGATTTGTGGCAGACATTTTTCTTGGGTTGTTTTTTGTTTGAAGCTTGATTATTTTGGGTTTTGATTTTTTTTTTTGCACTACCTCGGATTGGGGCTACCTCTGGTAGGCTTTATGGGTGTTTTCCCCTATGGATTTCACTCCTTTTTTGTTTTGTTAGTGTGGAAGTAAGTGCGGGTCGCAGCATCCACTTCCCCTTTCCCTGTCATCGGGTCGGGAGCGCGCCGTGGTCACGGAAGGAACTGTTTTAACCGTACCAGCGGTATACAGCGCATAAAAACCCATCGCCACGCTTCCTGAAGACTAGGGTTGAGTTATTTAGATTTTGGGGTTAGGTAGTCAGTGGGGAAGTCTCAGTCCATGGTGCACTTTTGTTTTGTTTTTTGTTTTGAAGATCATGGCTTCCAACTTCATCGACTCACCTTCGGAGGAGCTGTTGGACAGCTGTAATAAGGATGAACTGTTGCAGCTAGTTAAACAGTATGATGTTGACATTGGAGACAGGAAGTTGACAGCTGATATTCGGTCGTGTTTAAAGTCTGTTTTGGTAGATAAGGGGGTCTTGCCAGGGAAGAGTGAGCTAGTAACTGATTTTAATGTGAATTTGGACAAGTTTACGTTTGAACAAAAAAAAGAGTTAATTTTGTTGGAAGTGGAGAAGGAAAGATTGGTCGTGGAGCAAATGAGGATTGCACTTGAGAGGGAGAGATTTCAGGTTGAAGCAGAGAGGTTAAGGTATTCGCCCAGAAGTCCTAAACGGAAGGAGTTTGATTTGGTGTCAAATTTGCGTCTTGTTCCAAAGTTTGAGGAAGGTGATCCGGATAAATTTTTCCCACTGTTTGAGCGCATAGCGAACTCCAGAGGTTGGCCAGAGTCAGATCGGGTTGTGATGTTGCAGTCAGTCTTCACAGGGAAGGCTCAGACAGCATATTCAGCTTTGGGGGAGCACGAGAGTAGCGTTTACAACACTGTGAAGCAGGCTGTGCTGAAGGCTTATGAGCTGGTTCCAGAGGCCTATAGACAGCGCTTCAGGTCATGGAGAAAGGCTGAAAAGCAGTCTCATGTTGAGTTTGCTATGGATCTATGTAAACATTTTCAGAGATGGTGCTTAGCTTTAGATGTGACGACGTATGAGGAACTATGTAACTTGATAGTTCTGGAGCAGTTTACTAACTGTGTTCCACCAGAGGTCGCCACTCACATCAGCCAGCGAGGGGTGGTGTCGTTCTCTGAGGCGGCTACCATTGCTGATGAGTATGTTTTGGCTCGTAAAGTAAAGAATCAGGGGCATTATTCAAATGATTTTGTTTCAAGTGGAAGAGTTACCCACACACCGTTCCATAAGGATGAATCGTCTAGACCTGGTCGTTTTTCAAAGTCCTCGTTTTCAGATCAAGAGTGTAACTACTGTCATGAGAGAGGTCATTGGAAATCAGAATGTCCTTTATTGGAGAATAAGGGGGGTAACTTTGGCAGTGAAAATGTTAGACCTGCAGTGTTTACAGCGGTAACCAGGCGGAAACGGGCATCAGTCTTGGGTTCTAGGGGGGGAAGATGTTCCGGTTTTGAAGCCTTTGTTTCAGATGGATTTGTGTCAGTTGGTGATGGGATTCGAGTCCCGGTGAGGATTCTGAGAGATACTGGAGCATCAGATTCTTTCATTCGGGCCTCCGTATTGCCATTTTCAAAAAACACTGATACAGGTCGTTGTATTCTAGTTAGGGGTGTTAGTTTGGTTCCACTGAGGGCTTCTTTGCACAAGGTTTTCCTGTCATGCAGTCTTGGTGAGGAAATGGTTGACCTCGCAGTCAGGCCAGCTTTACCGAGGGAGGGCGTTGATGTGATCCTGGGTAATGATTTAGCTGGGCATCGAGTTTGGGCTTCAGGGTGTCTCGCAGAATTTCCGGCTCAAGCAAAGGAACCAGATGGCTGTGAGAAGAACTTCCCAGTGGCTACAGCGTGTGCGGTCACCAGGGTCATGACGAAGTCTACGTCCTATACCGTGACCAAAGGCCGTACAAGTCATTACAAAGTTGACTTTTGTTTACCCGAGTCTCTTTCTATCCCTCAGCAGGCATTGATACCTGGACAAAGAGCAGACGCATCGTTGGATGTGTCTTTGGAGTGCCCATCTAAGGACCCTGTGAGCGGGGCTGGTCCGACAACGTCCTGTGAAGTACAGCAGTCAACTCCTCATGGGGGGGAGGATGACGCTATAAGGCCAGATGGGACTGTACTTTGTGGTCGCTTGGATGAATCTGAGCATATCTGTCAAGGGTGCAATAGTGGACACGTTACATACAGAGATGAGCCTAAGAGTATTCGGATTTCTTGTCTCCATGCTTAGTGATGTAGCTCTGTCTGTTTTGCCTCGTGCTGTTTCCCATCTCTCCAGTCTCTCCTCCCCTCTTAATTTGCTCCTAGGAACCAAGGTTGCTGAGGCTGGAGGATGGCGATTCAGACTGGCATGGGACAGGTCCACCAAAGTTGAGTGCTGGCACTTTCCAGGGTACAACCCTGTTCTTCTGGGGGGGAGTGTGACGGCCCAACTGGGCCCTCTTATTTTGACTGTTCACTGTCCTTGTTTCCTGTCAGGACCGGAGGTTGGGGGCGTCGCCGGGCCCAGGCTCCACCTGTACTCCTCAGCATTAATGGACCACAGCTGGCAGTGTCTTCGCTCTCTGCTGCTCAGACCACCGGCTGCTCCACCTTTTACCTTTGTTTAGTTGATTTATCCACATACTGATTCACCTCACATACACTCAACACTGCACACATCACTGATGCATGTTCACGTCATTTTCTTTAATTAAACACTTAAAACCGTCATTGCTTGTGTGGTCTCCCCTTGTTGTTGCTACTCTTGAGCCAGAGTTGTAACAGTAGTCAGACAAGTAGGAAAAGATGTCCCAGTGTATGAGCTCAGTCCAGAGCATGGAAAAGGCAAAACTAGGGTACTTCACCGGAATCTACTTTTGCCCTGTGATCACTTGCCACCGGAAATAAAAACTCCTTCACCTGTGAAACCAAAAAAGGACAAAATTGTGGAGAAAACTTCAACACAAGATTCGGAGGATGAAGAAGACTAGTACTATTTCCCAGTGTCAACTGTACAAGGACAGCCGGATATGACAAATGACTGTGAGCCTAACATTAATCGACCATCAGAACCTGTCCTGCTTCAGCTTGAGGACGCCGCTGGAAGTGTGGATGTGCCGGAAAAGGATGCAGACGATGTGGAGGGGTCCTCGATTGAGAGTACGCAGGAAGAAGAGCTGCAGCGAGAAGCTCCACGCCCACAAAGAAAACGTAGGGCGCCAAGAATGTTCAGATATGACTCACTCGGGACTCCGTCATGCTATTATGTTGATGCAGTTACACCTTATGGGCCTCCTGCATGGCATGTGCCAATTTTCTCGTAATAGCAACACAAACTCTTTTGTGGGATTTGATTTGAACCAAATTCAAATTGGACAATTGTTTTGGTACTAAGGTTAATGTTTTGTTATTGTTACTCACTGGTAATTTGAGGATGCAACCAGTTGTTTCATGCTTTTGCAGGTTCTATGTGTTTTGTGTTTGTACCTGTGACTTTGAGTACTACTTACGGAAATGTTGCGGACAACATTTATTTTTGTGGGGGAGTGTGTAACCAGATGATTTTAGTTGTTAATGCAGTTACGTGGGGTGTCGAGCAGGGGGAGACGCTCTTGAGCTTCACCTAGGCTACGTCTTTCCTCATTCATAAACCAGCAAGGCTCGAGGAAAGACGTGTCCTGGTCTTATTTTTATTTTATCCCCTTTTCAGGTATGGTATGATATGCAGAATGTCATAAATCAGTCATTATTGTTTTATATTGAGTCAATGTATCTGTGAACCAAATCCAGTGTGATAATTTAGTCTAGTAGGCTGTTGTTTCAAGGAGCTCCGCTAGTTGCTAACCAAATTAGCATTAGCTTCTCGTTGCTAGCGCGGGAACAGTGGAAATCGTTGAATGTTAATTTAAATGTGTTCAAATGTAAGAAAGATTATTTTTCTCATTCATAAACCAGCAAGGCTCGAGAAAAGACGTGTCCTGGTCTTATTTTTATTTTATCCCCTTTTCAGGGCTATTACATAGGCAGGTGTTGTCTTCACTTCAATATTAAAGTTTTCAGCCATATCTCTAACTTCTTCATTATTAAACTCCCCACCATTATCACTGAACAACTTTTGTGGTGGACCGTGAACACTTATCCAATCATGGATAAAATATTTGACTATTTCAGAAGACCTCTTTGTGGTAATGACACTCCCCGCGATAAATCGAGTGAACTAGTCAATGATATGTAGGTACCACACTCCTGGCTGAGGCTCATGCAGATCTACAGCCACAGTCTCATAATATGTTGACGCAAGTGGTAAACCGACGGCAGGTTTGGGTTTGGTCTTACAGTACTTTTGGCAGGCTTCACATTGACCAATTACTTTTTGTAATAGGCTAATGCATTCTGTGTCTTTGTTGCCAGAACTGCTCAAAAGTCTCTAACTTGTCGGCAGACGCATGCCCAAACTGTTTATGAAGTTTCTCTAAAACGTTCATCTTCTCACTTGTGTTCATTTCGTTCGTGTTTGTAAGTACTTCTTCAATAGTTGTCAATATCTTGTAAAATCCAGTTTGACAGGTTGATTGAACATCACTGCACTGCACTGTCATTTTCCATGTCCAGAACTGTCCCAGCACGTTTCAAAGATGTTTTACTCAAAAGCAAGGGGATATTAACAGGAACAACTTCTGTCTCGATATTCCATTTTGTGTCACCAATCTTGGCCGGTATCTTAACATTTTTGACAGAGTACACTACTTTTCCGTCCCCAAACTTGATGGGCCTGTGACTCTGCATTTCTGTTGCTCTCATTGACTTGACGTTTTTTTTTCCGGACACACAAATGTAGTTGTCTAACCACTCTTGTCCACATACGGTCCTTGTGCACGCAGTGTCTATTATAGCAGAGCCAAAACATTCCGTCATGAATATTTCTGCATCTGTCGGCGATGCTTTGGTGTACAATGTAATGTTACACTCTTCAACGCCTGCTTTATCTTTAGCTTTATCTTCAGTTATATTCACACTCTCACCTTTGTGTGGACAATCTCTGGCCCAATGAAACGTGCTTTGACACACTGCACACTTTGATCGGCGTCCGAACTTGTCCAACGGGTTCGTACCGGGTTGTGGAGTTCTGGGTCTGCCGCTTTGTTGCCAGGTTTTACCTTTATCCCGCCGATGCTGCTCCGTGGCAAACACAGACTCTTGACTGATTCCCTCTGATGCAGCACTCATTTTACCGCTAAATATCCTCTTCAAAGCAGACTTCATTGAGGCGAATGTAAGATCTGTGCATGCTGTTAAAACCAGCTGCCTGTCAGTCCCATCTAAGCACGCTTAAAAGCTAAAACTGCGTCAGGTAGCTCCATTTTGTGTTTGCGCATACGTGAATACCGCTGTTCAAAATCAATAATATAATCCGCCATGGACACACTTTCATGTTTAACAATGCGGTCAAAATCAGTGTATGCCTCGTAAATACGGTCTTTTTCTTCTTTGAGGAACAAACTGTCAAGTTTATCCAGCAAAATTTTCATTCCTGTGTCTTCATTTAATTTGTCTACCGGTATTTCCATTGCAGTCTCCCGTGCTCTTCCCGACAGCGACAAAGCAACAGCGAGGGCTTGTTTTTTCTTTTCCAAGTCCGTGATTCTGGCCCAAATGCCGACTTCATTTTTCCAGCTTTCGTAGAGTTTCCCCTCTTCAAACGGTGGTGGAACTCTGTAGTTACAAACCATCCTCTGCTACTATGTTAAATCAAGATAAACTCCACTTGTAGTTCGTTATGGGCTGCTGTATCTAAAAAGGAATCATTTTCCTGTGACTTCCTGTATCCGGTGAGTGTGTTTCTTGACTACTATCACTCTGCTCTCTGTTTGCAGTAACAAACACATTACAAATCCACGTATTGTACACCAAGCTAACAGTGTAAGCACTCCGAGTCAGCTGTACTGCAGCTGAGGTTTAGGTAGCGGTTGTTTGTCTGGTCTCGGAGTCTGTTGTGCGGGCCCGGATCCGGACTAGCTTAGCCTACCCTAGCCGCTAACTCGCTACTCCTATGGCGGCTGCTGTCTCCCCTCAATCCTTTACTGCTCGAGTTGCCATATGGCGAGTCTAAACCCTGGATCCTTCTCTGAGGGTAGTGATAGATGTGTGAAGTGTAGTGTAGTCGTAGCTCTGGAATCCAGGGTCAGTGAGTTAGAGCTGCGTCTCCGAGCACTGGAGTCTCGAGCTAGCGCTAGCATTAGCTACAGCCAGGCCGTATCCTCAGGGACAGCGGAGCGCAGCTTTAGGGAAAGGCAGAGGAGAACTAGCGAGCCTAGCCTCCCAGCCCGTCCTCCGCAGCTGGGACAAGACCAGGATAGTGATGGCTTTGTGACTGTTCGGAGAGGGCGACGTGTTGTTGGTAGTTTCCCCATTGGGCCTCCTCCTGTTAGCATTTACAATCGCTGGGACGCTCTGTCAGGCTGCGCCCCCGCGCGGCCGGGCGGGGAAGAAGGCCCCACTGAGAGAGCCGCTGAGAGAGCTGCTGAGAGAGCCGATGGAGTCGCTGATGCGCTGGTAATTGGCTCCTCTATTGTTAGAGGTGTTAAGATCCCAGGAGCCACTGTTCGGTGCTTCCCTGGGGCCAGGCTTGGTGATATTGAAGGGAATCTGAGGCTCATGATGACCCACAAGCAGCGTTTCCGTCGAATTGTTATTCACGCGGGTGGTAATGACGTTCGGCGGAAACAGTCCGAGGTGTTGAAGCTGCAAGTCGCCGCTGTGTGCAAGCTGGCTAGCACAATGGCCGACACTGTCATCTTCTCTGGGCCCCTACCTAGCACTAGCAGTGCAGAAGCATTCAGCAGACACTCGGCTTTCAACCGCTGGCTGTCTGGCTGGTGCCCTCGAAGTGGTGTTGTTCACGTTGACAATTGGAGTGCCTTTTGGGGAAAGCCCGGTCTCATCCGCTCGGATGATATCCATCCAACGTTGGCGGGTACATCCCTTTTGGCTAAGAATTTGGCCCTGGCTCTAAACTGTTCTGCCCGGCTCAAATGACGATGCAGAACTGAGGCCCGGGTGCAGAGCTGCTCTGCCACAACCTCTGAGCCCCCATCTGTTCAGTTACTAGCCTCAGAAGCTAGTCAGATTGAAACTGTGTGTGCATGTGTGTGTGTGCCTGTGCTAGCCTCAGAACCTAGTCAGATTGAAACTGTGTGTGTTCCCCGCTTGAAGTCTAAAGCACTATATGCGAGGAAATCTGACCTGGGTGTCAGACACAGTAACTTAATAAAAGTTCAGACAGACAGAAATAGTTCTAACAGTAGGGTTGTTAAATGTGGTTTAATGAACGTCAGATCAATCTCGTCTAAATCGCTTCTCATAAACGAACTTATTATAGACAAGGGCTTGGATCTGTTTGCGCTCTCGGAGACTTGGCTCCAACAGGACGACTACGTTAGATTGAATGAGTGCACTCCTCCGACGCATGTTAACTACCAGAAAGCGAGAACTACAGGTCGCGGCGGTGGCGTTGCGATTATATCACACACCAACTTAGTTCTTAGTCCCAAAACCAACAATGCTTTTCACTCGTTTGAAAACTTAACACTTTCAATCACCTCTCCTGGGTGGAGAAAACAAAAAGCGGTGCTATTTATAGTTTTATACCGACCTCCTGGTCCTTACAGCGAGTTCCTAACAGAATTCTCTGACTTCATTTCAAACCTAGTTTTGGAATGGGAAAACAGTTATAACTGGAGACTTCAATATACATGTGGACGACAGCACTGACAGCTTAAACAAAGCTTTCAGCGCCGTACTAGACGGTGTTGGTTTTACTCAGAATGTTGAGGAACCTACTCACATTCATAACCACACCTTGGACCTTGTCCTGACCTACGGCTGTGATGTCTCCAATGTTGACATCCAGTGTCAAAGCTCATTGCTGTCTGACCATTTCTTGATCACGTTTGATCTCGATTTGGAGGACTTTCCTGTCCCGCAAGATAAAACCATAATGAAAAGACCCTTAAATGATAAATCTATCACAAGGTTCAAAGAACTAATACAGCCTATGTTGAATACTGCTGCAGGTGAACCTGTTCACAGCTGCTGCAGTCCCTCAGTCATTGACCAAACGGTGGACAACACTATGGAGTCTTTAAAATCTGCATTAAATGCAGCAGCTCCTTTAAAACAGAAAACTATTAGGATTAGATCATCGTCGCCCT